TGATATAATTCTCTACTAGTAAACTATCTCCTGGACACTCTCTCTACCAAACTGCGTTTTACCTCATTTCATTCTTAGAAGTGTGCCGTGTTCTAAGAGTTCTGGTTATTTCTCCAAACTGTTCATAGAAATATAATGTTAAGATCTCTGATAACCTCCTTGATGGAGATAATACCTTTGTGTATTCTGGTCTTCCTGAAATCTTCAGCTTTTGGTGAAATCTTGGACTTTGGTTTCTATCTCTTAACCTTCACATGATCTATTTTCTACCTTTCATGATATATTTAAGGGCTCCACTTTGAACACTTCCTGTTGGCTAAGAGACTCCTGAAGACCTCTCTGTGTGGTCTAATCCTCATTTTTCTGCGCACTAGAACTCTGTTCAATTATTTTCCCTCCCACAGATTCAGCTATCATCTCTTTATCATTGTACTTGTCTCGTTTGGTCTTAAAATATGTCTGCCCGTATCAGTCTTGAACTGAGTGTTCTCACTCAAGCTAATCATGGAAAAAAATGGAACTATTCATCTTTTTCTGTTTGTTTTTTTGGTATTAAAATTTTATAGTTTTATGAGTATATTTGTTTCCCTCAACTTGTCAATGGGAAACAGCATGATTTGATTGATTGTTGCATATACCCAAATTACTGCATTTTCTTTACAGTGTTTTTCATTTCTACGTTTTCTTAAAACTTTTTTTTTTTGTCCAGTTTCCAGTTGCTTATAAAAACTATTGTGACCACCCCAGAACATAAGTATTAACCATCTCCCCACCCCTGGCTATTATTACTATTGTACTGTCGCTCGTTCATTGTGTTTGCCATGTTACTTTTGCAGTTTAGAACCAGGCTTCTCAAGCTGGCCTGGGAATCAGCAGCAGTGTGCCAGGAGGTTTGCAGAGCTGAATAAACATGGACCAGTTTCCAGAAGCTTCATTTTGCTCAAAAATTTGGTAGAAAAAATTTAAAGCAAACATAGCTGCATTATGAAGTAGAATGCAAAATTCATATGAATTTTTAAGCTAAAATGGGAGACTTCAGTGTCTCTTTGCTCTGCTTAAGGGAATTTCTGTGTTAGTACCCTTATGGTGTGTACCTTGTGTTAGTATTTTCAAGGTATTATTGGGCTTTAGGTTATCCTATGAATAAGGCACCCAAACTCTAAGGCCTTTGCCTTCTCTCTACTGCAAAGCCCTTTCTTGATATTCCTCTTACTACACTTATTTTCTTTAAAAATGTTTTTAGGTCATTTCAACCAATTACCTTAATTCACTCCTTTGCCTCTCCCATGCTCTACCATTTGCCTGAAATTCAGCCTGCGTAGCTTCATTTGAATGAAAAGTGATGATTTCTACAGTGGTGTGATACAGTGGTGATTTGTTCTTCCTGGGCTTGGGACTCCTGTGGCTCATTACTACCAAATTGGAGAAACTTGAGTATCTTGCATACGCACTCTATATTTTCTGTACTTCCCCATACAATTACACACACACACACACACACACACACACACACACACACACACACACACACAGTTTACCCTGTGTGTTTTTCTTTGTCATTCATTTTTCAAGTGTTTATTGTAGCCCTTACACGTATAAAGCACTGCAGAGGTACCCTCAAGGAGAGTATTAAGAGAAATAAGACACGTAAAAGATAGGAAAAGAAACTTAAAAGAGAAACAGATCAAATTTAAAAGAAGTCAGGAGGACAGAACAATTATTTTTGGCTGCTCTGAACAGAATGAGCTTTTGGCTGTATACAGTGAGTTTCCATGTTTTTATCTGTATCCTTGCTGTCTTGGGATACAAATTGCATGATTCAAAGTGGTCTCCTTAAATATGTGTACATACACTTATCCCAACAGCATAAAATGCAAATAAGAATGTAATACATTTCCTTTGACTTGAATAAAATCAAAATTTAAAATAACAGTGTCTTGTGAATGTGGAGTAGAAGGCGATTTTAGAAATCATCTAAGAAAGAAAAACAAGCAATCTTTCTCTGAAGCAGGTTAGAGAAAAATAATTAATAAGATAGGAATCATCTAATTCATCCTTTATTAGCGTAATTACAAAAGAAGAAACAGACTGAGTTGAAGCCTCAACCAAGACCACGCAAGTTTGTTCTGACTTCCAGTCCTGTGCACTTAACCCTGTAAAAGAAGTGGTGCTGCTATGTGATGACTTGTATATTTGCCATAAAATCCAATTATATATCTTGATTTTTAGTTTCATATTTATTCAAACTGATCATGAAAATAAATGACTTATCGAACCCTTTTTCTATTTAGGAAGACGTTTGCTCTCATTTGAAAGATCATGTGAAACAACTGGAAAGGAATCAAGAAGCAGTCAAGTTAGAAAAGACCGAGATCATTAACAGGCTGACGAGAAGTCTAGAGGAGAGTCAGCAGCAGTGTGCCCACCTGCTACAGTCCGGTAGGTGCCTGGGCAGGCTGCTGTCTCCCCAGAAGGCTAGTTCAACATGCAGAGAGAACACGGTAGGATCCATGAATTACAAATAATTCAGAAGAACCAGAAAAGACAATTGGAAACAGATTTCTTTTCTTTTTTTAAAAAAAATATCATTATATATGGATAAAGGTGTAGCTTATTTTTATCGGATAATTTCGAAACTGTAGACAAGCATAAAGTACCAAATAAAAATAACCAATACTCCTACTATTAAGAAGTAATTACTGTTATCATTTGAATGTATTTCCTGCTAATGAAATGAATGCACACACATAGGCAATGCCCTGCTTCTCTGTGTAAGTGCATTTCTGAAAACATCCAAAAGCTGAGTGTGCAAAAATTGAACAATAAAATGTGTGTTGTAAGGTAAGTTCTATCCCTGAAAGCTAAGAATGATTATAAAATCGCATTATATTTTGGTTTTGTAGACCCAATATTTGATCATATATTTCTGTCCTTTTGTATAATTTCTTTGATTTTTTTCCCCCCTCGCTCACAATGGAGTAGCCGCCTAGCCAGTCAACTGAGACCAGAGAATGTCATTCTTGTCATGGTTAAGATTTCTAGTGTGGTGTCTGTGGTATTAAGTTTGAGACATATACTTCCTGTCATTTTAGTTTCAGCAATAGTTTCATTTCTTACTTATTTTTATAAAATGATATTAGATGAAAAGGCAAGAAAACAGTCAAATGTTTGTATGAACACTGCTGTACAGAAAAACCACCCTGTTCGCTGGGGAATAGCTCACACTGAAAATAGGTCAATGGCCATTCATTAACTGATACGTGAAAGTCACACTTTGGCATATGAAAGGCAATTCAAACCCTTGGTACAGTGTGTGAAAGGGTGGGTTATTCAAAAGTTGAAAGTTATAAAGTCACTGGCTGCCTAACTGTGTGTGTGTATATATTTGGTAGGGGGCAAAATTCGGATCACCCTCTGTTTAGGTGCCCCTCCCTGTTTAGTTTTGTAGCCTTTGTTTTCACTTGGCATTACTTGGTGTGTCTTTTTCCTGGCTATTAAAGGCTTTGAGAATATGATTTTCTTTAACTGCATAATATTCCATCACTTAACCGTTTCACTTAACCATTTTCCAGATGGTTATTTTCTTTGGAAATCCGATAAAGTCCCTTTTAAATGGGACATTCCCCTGGTACATTTAAAATACTAGGTTATTGAAGTTTCGGAAGCACAACCCTAATATACTTGTTTCACATGTGAAGCTGGGGGTGCTGGAAATAAAAACATTTAGAAAGAAGTTAAAAGCAGCAAGATATAGTTTTCTTATTAGAGGGGAGAAATGCGTTCTGAAGAATTTTTTCTTTGGCTTTCTATGAGTTGGAATGTTATGCTCCTATCAAAGGACTTTGGTGCAGTGGCTCACACCTATAATCCCAGCATTTTGGGAGGCTAGGGCAGAAGGATAGCTTGAGGGCAAGAGTTTGAGACCAGCTTAAGCAACATAGCAAGATCCCATCTCTACAAAAAGTTTTATTTATTTATTTATTTATTTATTTATTTTGAGACAGAGTTTTGCTTTGTTGCCCAGGCTAGAGTGAGTGCTGTGCCATCAGCCTAGCTCACAGCAACCTCAAACTCCTGGGCTCAAGCAATCCTACTGTCTCAGCCTCTCGAGTAGCTGGGACTACAGGCATGCACCACTATGCCCTGCTAATTTTTTCTATATGTATTAGTTGGCCAATTAATTTCTTTCTATTTATAGTAGAGATGGGGGTCTCATTCTTGCTCAGGCTGGTTTTGAACTCCTGACCTCGAGCAATCCAGAGTGCTAGGATTACAGGCGTGAGCCACCGCGCCGGGCCTCTACAAAAAAATGTAAAAATTAGTTGTATGCAGTGGTGTGTGCCTGTAGTCCCAGCTGTTCAGGAGGCTGAAGCAGGGGAATCACTTGAGTCCAGGAGTTCAGGGCTACAGTGAGCTGTGATTGCACCACTGCATGCTATCCTGGGCTGCAGAGTGAGGCCTCTTCTTTAATAAATAAATAAACAGGTAGGTAGATAGTACTTCTGGAGTGTTTTGGTCTGTAGATGTGGCTGATTTGATTAATAAGAAAGTCATGGTAGCCTGTGCCTTTACTCCCCAAGGACATATGGGAGCCATACTAAATCTTGGAAATGTCTGGACCAGACCTATGCCTTCTGGGTCCTGCTGGTTCTATTCTGTTAGACACCTAAAAGGATAATGGCAGTAAAGCAGAACTTCACTGTCTGTAGCCTCAGTGGATTCAAGTTCTTCTATAGATCATAGGTTCTTTGTCTCCTTACATATATCCTATAATTCTTTCCTCCACAGGGTCAGTACAGGAGGTGGCTCAGCTTCGGTTCCAGCTGCAGCAAGCACAAAAGGCACATGCTATGAGTGAAAACATGAACAAGGCTTTGCATGTGAGTGTCACCGCTTGGAAGAGACCCTGTGGGCAACTGAATTGGGCAGTGGTTATATCACCTTTTTGAATCTTGGGTTTCTTGGTATGAGAAAGGTGGTTGGACCGTCTTCAAACCAGCTCATGGGAATTGCTCGTAGCTTCACCCACACAGCTGGGGAGTCAAGCTCAGTTCTGTCTAGCTGCAGAGTCAGAGCCACGCCCCTCCTGCCAGTCTGCCCGCACCTCCTTCACATGGCATATCCCTTCCTCTAAACTGTAATCCAGAGATCAGTTCATCTGCAGGTGTGGGGAGCAGTAAATTTCACTACAATTCTCTTACATCCTCCTCCAGTACTACTTACAATTTCCACTGGAGGGAGAAGAAAACACTGGAGAAGAGTTCCAGTGTTACCTCCACTGATGGAGGTGTTTTGCCTTTTCACCACTGGCAGACTAAAGTATAACATGTTCTTGTCAAACCATTCCACTCTGTCCCCTATTCTAGTAAGCCAAAAAGTGCTTCCATCAGCATCTCAGCTCAAGGGACGCTTTTCATGGAGGACAAAATGTAAGAGAGGGAGGTATGAGAGAAACTACTTATATTTGTTTTCTCATTCATTTATTCATTTGTTCATTCAGTTTACCTAAAGACCTGATTCATGCTGGCCTTTATAAAATGATTTCTAATGTATCCTAATAATGCATGAAGTAGTTTTTCTGCCTTATGCTGATCATTGAAACAAACATTTGAAGCGTAGATGGAATGGTCATTTTCTTTATGTAGGAAAATATAATGAAAATTATTTTCAATGATTTTGTGTTGTAGGAAGAATTACTCGAACTAAAAGATGAAATTTCTCTCTATGAATCTGCTGTAAAGCTAGGAATACTTCCGAGTAACTCCAAAGGAGAATTAAATGTAGAACTCACCGATTCGTATGTGGATTTGGGTATTAAAAAAGCCAACTGGAAGAAGTCCAAAGTTAACAGGTACTGAGAAAACAGTTTACTAATTTAAGCAACATTAATGATACCAACGATACATGGCAAACAGGTGGACCCAGGCACGAAATGATGAGCTGACTAGGGATTCTTGAAGTATGTTTCAGTAATTTTTAATGAAGTATAAATGTCTGAAATCAGACAATGGACAGAAACTTCAAGTATTAATATTGTACTATCTCTAACACCCAAATAGACACATCAATTTCAGAAAGTTAAGTGATTAATGTAGTTAAAATATACAAAGCAAACTCTAAAACTTAGATTATGTATCTATATCTATTTGAACTATTAAAATGAGGGCATATTGTTTTTATATGCTAACGCTGTGTGTTAAAAGCAGATATCTTGCATTCATCAATAGTATATGAGGAAAAAAAGCATTAGGTTTTCATAGGAACTCTACTGTGACCTTATTTTTAAAATAACAACTCTGTCTTTTATGCTGCTGCTTAATGAAGATACCTTAGCAGTCTCTCGGAAGGCAGTGTTTTACCATCGTCCCTCCCGGGGACTGACGGGGAAGCAGTGGTGGTGGTGGAAGAGGGAGTATTAAACATTTAAAGGATAAATGAATGAGACTTAATTCATTCACACTTTGGAAGCACTTGCCACATGGAAAGTGCGAGGCTCTGGGACTAGAGTACAAAAGATGAGCTAGAAACGGTCCTCTTCACAGGGAGTTTGCGTTTTGCCTAGGCAGACAGGAGACATACTTGTAAACAACTATTAATAAGTCCTGTGTGTTCAGTCTGGTGCTCGATGTAGAAAGGGGAGATTTACGCATTCCCTCCACTGGTTTTGGTTAGGGAAGAGAGATGAGGTGTTTGGAAGAGATCGTATTTAGGCCCAGGAAAGCTTTTCTTGAATGCGCTTGGCCCTCACCACCACCATTTGGTTTATGGTCTAAGACTGAGTTTGCCATCATTATTATTACTGCATTATTGTTTTGTGAGAGCATTTGATGCATGTGTTTCAGATATCACACAACTAAAAACAGATATATAAATCCGAAGAGTTTTCTCAAAGATAGGTCTTCAAAGTTAATGTATTAATACTGTGATTTCATTTTAAGAACAGTAAGATGAGATCCAGTATATTGAAATCTAAAGTGATCAGGTGATGCGGTGAAAGCAGGTGTATTAGTAGTATTTTAGTGTAGGAAGGCTCCATGTATCTGGAGGTCTGTCTTCAGGGATTCTCATCCCACAGATCACAGCTGTCATCCAGAAGGAAGCAAAGGAGAAAATATCAGATCTAGATTATATGATGTGTTTAGTAGGAGCCACCTTCAAACTCTTACCCCAGTGCCGTATTGACTTAGATTTATTTGCACCCCATGAGTTATCCGATTTCCTAACTGACTGCAGGGCATCTATGGCAGGAGCCTGGGAGAGGCGCTGTCAGTGCTTAGGCCAGACAGCTCAGCCTTAGCAAGGAGGGAACTAGCAGCCCGAGGGGCTGGGGTTGCTGAGCATCACAGCAAATAGCTTTACGCATCCATGTGCATTCTGATCCACATCAGAATGTCCATGATGATGATCCCAAGTTGTTCAAGAAAGGCTTCCGCTTTGGTGGACTAATTAAAGCGAAAGAGGAAGTACACTTTATGTTTTTTAGACAGATTTACAGAAAATTTTAGAGTTAAAATATAGTCATGTAGAAGATTCACTGCTATGAATGCCTCATTTCCTATTAATGCGGGATTAATTCTAAGGGGGTAGTGGAAAGAGCATGGAGTTTAGATCCTGTTTTAAATCATAGTGTTATCATTTATTACCAACTTTATGACCTTGGGCAGCTTTTCTGAGCCTGTTTTCTAATCAGGCTTGATATCCTTTAGAGGGTTAAAATGAGGATTAAAAATAGATAATGAATATAAGGGACCTTGTGTAGTGTGTTCCAGACATATTAGGCCCTTGATGAATGATAGCTATTACTAGTATTATTCAATAGAAGATTGGTTAAAATATACCATTGTCAGATTTTGTATTAATGTACTTTTAATTCAACACATACTTTATAAAAAGTTGTTGATCCTCGACCTTGTGAAAAATGCCAGATCCAGAATTAACATGTTAGAGTTAGAAAAACCAGAGTTCAGAGAGGTGAGCTCTTTTGCTCAAGAAGACAGACAATTAGCAACAGAACCAGTAATTGAACCCAAAACTCCTGAGGGTAGGCACGGGTTTCTGTCTGTTCATGTTTACCTGACAATCAAACCTTTTTGCCTTAGACTTCTTTATGTTTTTTATTTTTGAGAATTAAAGATGCAGTTCCTGCCAAAGAAGATTTTACTCCAATTTGTTATTACCTTATTTTAGTTTGTGCCAAAATTGTCCTGGCAATTGGGAAAATAATTCATTGTATATATGTTTATCTTTTCAGAGAGACTTTGTTCATCATGATGTCTAAAGTATATTCTACTTTCATACTTTCTATTTACTTAGCATTCCTAGCCCAAATCCTATAGTAATTTTAAAGCACATTCCTATAAATAATAATACTGAGACATCACATCATCATTATGGTAAAAGGAATAATGGACACATTTATCTGGAAAAGTAAAGAATAACTAAGGCACAGTGTTGTGGTTAGTTGCCAAGGCTCAGTGAGAATACATCCAGGGAAAAGCAGGATAAGGGAACAAATGTTTAGCTTATAGTCATCCCACCCACCTGCAGTTTAATAGATGATAATTGGGATTTGAGGAAAACTAAAAATATTTATTATCAGATCAACTTTAAAGGAGATATAGGAGAGAAGAGATTTGTAACTTTCCTCTGGTGGACTGTGATTCTTAGAATGAAAGGAAGCAACAGTTTTCCCAGTCTTGAGAATTTTAGTTCTTTGTTGACTTGAGCTGCTTTCAAATCACTGACCCAAATATTGGTGGCTCTAAGCTTTTATTACCAACTACCACCTCCCTCAAGCTACTGCCTAGTAAATTTTAAGGGTTTAGCCTCAGTGTTCTATTTTACATTCATGGAATTTGAGTAGCTAAATCTGCATGTAGCTTGCAGACAGTTTCCTCTCTCCCTTATTATAGTTGGCTGCTAAGCTCAAATAATAAACATTTAACAAGTGGAATGCCTTTTCCCTTTGGTCTTCTCTGCAGGCTTCATAAGGGACTATAGTTTATTTGGATTTAAGGGAACTGACTTCCATAGGGCTCAGTAGCGAGCCTTTTCAGGATTGGTCCCCGTCACTGACTTTTTCCCTTTTGAGGAAAGAAGAGAAAAATTATTTTAGCAAGCACTTTCTCTGCTCTCTGACTTGGCTCCCTCTAGGAGTACAGGATGTGCTATTTCAGTGGCCAGCTTTCAGTAAGAAAAGAAATTTAGGGATGCATAATTTGTTAACTGAGCAAAATAAGCAATTTTGCTTAAAGGTAGCTCACCATATCTTATAGCACAGGAAGGTACATGGTAATATATTTTATTTATATAATTATATTTCTTTTTTTATAATTATGTATGTCTTCTGTTTCTGTAGAAGTAGAGTGGTTTAAGTAAGTGAGATCTTTATATACAAACAGACTTACACAATATATATCACATATATAAAAGTTATATATACGTATTGCAAGGAGCTCCTTTTGTAACCTTAAAAAAAAATCCTGCCTGCTATTTTGTTCATTTTCTCTCTCTCCAAACACACACGCACACACACAATATTCTAACATTTTATTTGGAATCATCTGAAACTGAAGAACAGTAAAAATTTTAACTCAGATATGATCTCCTTTTTTAAAATAGACTTTATTTTTTAGAACAGTTATAGATTTACAGAAAAATTTATATTGTACAGATTATTTATATATATGGCACCCATTTTCCTCTACTAACATCTTACATTAGTATTGTACTTTGTTATAATTATTGAGCCATATCGATACATTATTATTAACTAATGTCATCCTTAGTTTTTACCTAATGTCCTTTTTCTGTTCCAGGATACCAAATTACATTTAGGAGTCATGGTTTCCCTAGAGTCTTCTGATTCTTTTATTTTGATGCTCTTGACAGTTTGAGGAATACTGGTACAGTATTCTGTAGGAAGCCCTTCTATTGGAATTTGATGTTTTTCTTATGTTTATGTTTTTCTCATGGGTTTTGTGGAGGAAGATCACAGAGATGAGATTGTATTTTCATCACATCATATAAAGGGTACATACAATCAACTGCTTATTTCTTTTCAAAAGTAACTTTATCCTCCATTATGGGAAACTTATAAAAGCCACATTTAAAGAACAGAAAAAATAGAAATCACCCATAATCTTACCTCACTCCTGTGAAGAAAACCCCTGTTAACATTCTGATATATAACTTCAACATTATCTGTTTTGTATGTTTCTAAAAGATAAAATAATATTGAATGTACTATTTTATAATGACATTTAACTTAGTATATTCTGATATCTTTGAATGTCAGTAAATATTGTTATATATAATTTTTAATGAATATACGGCTGAATGAACCGTGTTTTAGTTACTAATACACTGTTTAAAATTTTATTATAATAATGCAGTATTAGTATTTATAGCATCCTTCTAGGTAAGTCTTTATCACATCTGATTATTTCCTTAAGATGTAGAATAATCTTCTTGCTAAAGGGTATGCACAATTTGAGGATTTTGATATCTGTTGCCCTAAAGTTGACATCATTACCCACATCATGTGGCAGTACCTATTTCTCTGTACCCTATCCACTGTTGAGAGTTATCACTGTTCATGTTTAAATTTCATGTAGTTAGATCTATCACTTTCTCACGATTTCTTGATGTTTGAAAGATGATATTTTCTAGTACTTTTATAGTTTTACTTTTTAATCTTTAAAACTGTGAAACTTAACCATAAAGAAAAGCGCATAAAACAATAATACAAAGTGGATACTCATGGCCCTCCACCCAGGTCAAGAAATAAACATTGCCAGTGGCTGCCCATATTCTTTTCAACCATAACCTTGAGATTAACTACTATCTTAACTTAGGGCAATCATTTTCTGTTATTTCCTTACCTTTTAATACTCAGTTATTCATACCTAAACACTACAGATTATTAGCGTTGCCTATATATAGGGAACTCATACATTGGGTGTTCTTTTTTTTTTAAGGCTTTATTGAGATACATTTTGCATACCATACAACATCGCCTTAAAGTATGCAGTTTGTGGTTTTAGTATATTCATGGAGCTCTGCAACTATCTCCACATCCTAATTTTAGGGCATTTAACAACCCCAAAAGACACATACCTATTCCCAGTTATTCTTTATTACCTCTTTCTGCCCACAGCCAAGCAACCACTAATCTACTTTCTGTCTCTATGGATTTGCCTGCTTTGTTCATTTCACATAAATAGAATCATAATATATGGTCTGTGATTGGCTTCTTTCACTTAGCATAATGTTTTCAAGGTTCATCCATGTTGTAGCATGTATCAGTACTTCCATTCCATTTTATAGCCAAATAATATTCCTTTAAATGGACATGCCACATTTTGTTTATTCATTCACCAACTGATAGACATTTATTTGTTTTGTTTCTACTTTTTACGTATTATGAATAGTGCTACTATAACATATGCGCGTAAGTTTTTGTGTGGACATATGTTTCCATTTATATTATATATATGTTATACACACGCACGCGTGCAAGTAGAATATTGAGGAACCATCAAACTGATTTCCAAAATATCTTCACTATTTTACATTCCCATCAACAATGTATGAGAGTTCCAATTTCTCCATCTCCTTACCAATACTTGGTTATTTTCCATTTTAAAATAAGTATACCTCACCTAGTAGAAGTGAAATGATATCTAACTGTGGTTTTGATTTGGATATCTTTCATGTATTCATTGGCCATTTGTAGATCTTCTTGGAGAAATGTCTATTCAAATGTTGCCCATTTTAAAATTAGGTTGTATTTTTATTGTTTCGTTTTAAGAGTTCTTTACATATTCTGAATATAATTCCTTTGTCAAGTTTGTAAATATTTCCTCCTATTCTGTGGGTTTTCTACTTTCTTGACAGCATCCTTTGAAGCAGGAAAGTCTTTAATTTTATAAAGTCCAATTTATCTATTTTTTCTTTTGTTGCTTCTGCTTTTAGTATCATATCTAAGAAACCATCCCCAGACCCAGGATCCTAAAGATTTATACCTACATTTTCTTCTGTGAGTTTTATTTCTTACATTAGGTTTAAGATCCACGTTGAGTTAATTTTTGCATATGATGTGAGATAGGAGTCTAAATTCCTTCTTTTGCACGTGAATATCCAATTTCTAGTTGTCCCAGTACTATTATTGAAAAGGTTCTTCCCGTTAAATTGTTTTAGCACCCTTGTTGAAAATCAATTGACTGTAAATATGAGGATTTATTTCTGGACTCCCAATTATATTCCCTTGATCTATATGTCTGTCCTATGCCAGTACCACACCATCTTGATTGTTGTAGCTTTGTAGTAAATTTTGAAACTGGGAAGTCTGAGTCTTCTAACTTTGTTCTTTTTCAGGACTGGTTTCACATTTCTGGATCTCTTGCATTTCCATGTGAATTTTAGGATTAGTTTGTTAATTTCTGCAAAGGAAGCAGCTGGGGTTCTGATAGATGTATTGAATCTGTAGATCAATTTGGGGAATTTTGTTATAGTAATAGTATTGTCTTTTGATCCCTGAACAGGGGATATTTTTCCATCTATTTAGATCTTCTTTAATTTCTTTCATCAATGTTTGGTTTTCAGTGTACAAGTCATATACTTTGTTAAATTTAATCCTAGGTTTAAAATCCTAGTGTTTAATTTTATAGAGTTTTATTGGTATGTCTTTATGGTCACTTATCTTCTACAGTGTTAAACATGCTTGTAATCCTATCCAGTATATTTTTCATTTCAGATATCATCATTTTTTTTTCTATATATAAATTCAATTTGTGTCTTTTTTATACCTTCCATTTCTCTCCACATGTTCATATTTTCCTTGACCTTTCAGAACACATGGAATATATTTAACTCTATTGTCTGTGTCATTGCTGGGTTAGTTTCTACTGATTGATTTTTTTTTTTCCTGGTCATGGTTCATATTGTCTTTCCTGCTTCTTTGCATGCCTGATAAATTTTAATTGAATGCTAGACATTTTGAATTTTATGTGTTAGAAGCTGGATTTTATTGTATTTTTAAAAATACTGTTGGACTTTTTCTATGACACACTTAAGTTACTTGAAATTCATTTGATCCTTTCAAAGCTTTCTTTATAGGCTTTTTTAGATCAGGTTTAGAGCAGCTTTTAATCAGGGGCTAATTTAGTACCACTACTAAGGCAATATTTGATGCCCTATAAATTAGGAGGTCTTTCCATGGCTCATTGGATCACAACATATTCCCAGCCTTATTTTTTCCTGTGGTTGTTTCCCTGGAGACAGACAGACAGACAGACAGACACACACACACACACACACACACACACACACACACATCTCCAGAACTCTTTTTCTGTGCAGTTCCTTTCCCCCCACTATTTCCCCTTCCCCTCAAATTGTATGCGTTTTGACTTCCCCAAACTCTGAACTCTTTCTCTGCAATCCAATGAGATTACTGGGCTTCGTCTGAGTTTTACTTCCCCGTGCTATGGCCTGGAGACTCTCCAGGCAAAAGCTGGGCATTTGTGTTTTTGGTAAACTGCGTGTTTACCAAATCACAGGGCTCCCCTTGTTTGTTTTCCTTTTCTCAGGAATCATTGTCCTATGCTGCCTGTTGTCTAATGATTGAAAACTATTGTTTCATCTGTTTTATCTGGTTTCCTGATTTTTTAAAGAGGAAGATAAATCTAATCCTTGTTAATTCATTATGGCAAGGGGCAGAAAATCTCATCTTAATCTTTAAATTTATTGAAACTAAAATTGGGTTTAAATTAGCATGGCTTTATTTTTGTGTTTTTTTCAGTTGCTCAGATATTTACCTAGACTTGTGTTTTAGTGTTAATAAATTGAAAGAAATAACAGAAATTGTTAGGTAGGATGGCTAGTGTTTAGTATTCTTTTCCTGTTTATTGTTCATATTGTTTCCCCTAAAGTCATAAGGGATGTGTACAAACAACATGCAGTTTACCAAAAACACAAATGTAAGTCATGTCAGTGTTCACATATCTAAACTCCTCTCAGGGAGTCAGTAGGACTAAATCTGAGAATAGTCTTCCTATGAATAAACTTATTTGTATACATGGGGACATGGCAAAAGTGATATCCTTGTATATGACAAAGCTTAAAATTGTTTTGAAATACTAGTATATAATTGTATAGGTGACAAAATATAGCCCTCACTGCAGTTAGTGCTTTTGAAGAATAACTATACTTGATTTTGTTTGATTTAATCTTAAAAACCACAATTTCTCCATCAGCCTTGTTCAGCAAGAAGACCCAGATCAAGAGCTTTCAAAAGATGAGGTCATTCTGAAGTTGAAAGCAGAAGTGCAGCGTTTGCTGGGCAGCAACTCAATGAAGCGTCATCTGGTGTCTCAGTTACAACATGATCTCAAAGACTGCCGTAAGAAAATCGAAGATCTCCAACAAACGAAGAAGGATGAAAAAAGCATTGAGGCTGAGGTTTGTAGAGCCTATAGAGTTTAAAAAGCCATTTTAAAAAGGCTTATTTAATAAAGAAAACTTGTACATTTTTTATATTTAGTAAACCTTTGGCTTTCAGGGGTTCATTTGACATTTTTAGAAGTAGAGTTTAAACAAGGAAATGCCGTTTAAAGGGATACTGACAGTCTCTGACGTACGCTGTTTTAACTTTACATGATGTGAAATTGTTACATGTTCAGTAGAAACTGTACTTTGAGTGCCCATACAACCATTCTGTTTTTCACAGAATGAAAAAAAATTCAATAAATAAAGAGTATTTATTGAATTAAACTGTAAATTAATTAATAATTAGAATTAATTTATAATTAATTAATTTACATTTATTTATAAATAAAGAGTATTCGATAAATTCCATGAGATATTTAGCACTTTATTATAAAATAGGCTTTGCGTTAGATCATTTTGCCCAACTGTAGACTAATGTGTTTAAGTGTTCTAAGCATGTTTACGGGTAGGTTAGGCTAAGCTATGATGTTTGTTTGATAGGTTAGATGTATTAAATGCATTTTCCACTTTTGATATTTTCAGTTTATACTGGGTTTATCAGTATAGAACTGAACAGTAAGTTGAAGTGCATCTGTGTATTTTTTGATGCATCTGTGTATTTTTTCTTTACAAGAAAGAGTACTACATTGCAGCTAGTAAATAAGATGCCAATTAGGTAAAATTCCTTTACCACAAATACAGGGAAGTATTCTGTTTAATAAGGTAACTGCACTTTTTCAAGATTGGCTTGTACCAACAGTGCTCTAAAATTTGGTTAAAATGGGTCCACCATACTGAAATCCTTTAGCATTTTGTCCATGAGATTTCCCTGGTTCATGTTTTATAATAAAAGTCCTTCTCTATGAGGAGATTAATTACGTAGATAGAATCAGGTTACATCAGTCATTGAAGTCTACCTCTATGTTTTTCCCTTAGTCTTCTGACTGTACAGGTAAGGAAATGAAGTTGGTGAAGTGTGTGACCCTTTTGAGGTTATATAGAGTCAATCTTAGGCAAATTGAAACTAAAACACATGACTAATAAAAAGATCCAGGTTATTTCCTCAAGATCATATTATCACAGAGACTGCCCTCCTTTAACTGCTGCCTTTTTTACCTTTCACATTTCCTCCTCACCTATCTATACTTCCAGTAGAGAATAAGGTATAAAAGTCATAATAACTAAGAAAAGGGAAGAGAAAGTATACTACTTATACTCCTTTTCCTCCTGGATGGAAACAATTTTTTATTTCCTATTTTGGTCCTGTTTTATCTCTAGATCCTTTAAACTAGGAGTTGTGTTCATTAAAACACTTTTATTAAAGCAAAATATGTAAGATGTTCTGTGCTAATTATTATGGAATTTTAATTGTGGCTAATTTATTTTTCAGTAATAATAGTGTGTTTTTACTCTTAAAATTCTGCCAAGCATGGTTTCCTCTTCTGAGTAACTATGTTTGATGAGTAAAATACTGACTTTAATGTTAACAATAAATGAAAAAGAACCACCCCTGTACCTCAGCACATTTAACTTCTTTAAATCAAGCTTGTTTTAATTGTTTCCATGCATTTCTTTGAAAGGATGGGAATGAAAGCTTATGTCTCAATTTGTATTAGGAGATTACAGTTATTAGTTTAAGCATTTTAGTAAGAGTAGCCTAAGATTTAGGAGACTAAGATCCTGGTTTTGAGTCTGAACCTTAGCTCAGGTATCTTAGTGCTTTCTTTGTTCTATATCGAAATTATTAATGGCATTTGCTATACAGATATACTTTCTCATGTGTGTCAGTTGATGGTAGCCATGCCTTGTATTTTTATTTAGCCTTTTCCTTTGCCTCTATGATTTATTTGATCAATAGATCAAAGGGAGGTATCTCATCTTTTTTTTGTTTGTTTGTTTGTTTTTTTTGAGATAAGTGTCTTGCTCTGTCACCCTGGGTAGAGTGCAGTGGCATCATCGTAGCTCACTGCAATCTCAAACTCCTGGGCTCAAGTGATCCTCCTGCCTCAGCCTTCCAAGTAGTTGGCATTACAGGCACGTGCCACCACACCTAGCTAATTTTTCTACTTTTAATATAGAAGGGATCTTGCTCGAGCTGGTTTCAAACTCCTGAACTCAAACAATCCTCCTGCCTCCGCCTCCCAGAGTACTAGGATTACAGGCATGAGCCACCCCACCAGGTCTTCATCTTTGAATACTCTTTTTGTTGAGCTACTCTTTTGTCATAGTGATTTCTCAGTGTGTTATCAAAACTCTGAGTTTTCTCAAAGTGTCACTTTCAGTCCTTCCTGCATATGTCTGTTCTGCTTCAACTTACTGTGTAGGAATTTCCTGGGAATATTGTCTCGATAATTCTCTGCATATTTGCTCAGTAAATATTTGTTGGATTAATATACACACACATTGATCTACTTCCTAGATAGGGAAGAGAGAAGTAGTAACTTAACCAACAAGTGTTTTGTTTTGATTTTTACTACTCAAATCCATAATTATCTAATTAGCCTATGAGCACCATCAAACTTTGCCCTTGTCCCTTATTTCCCACACCTTTTCTGATGGAGCTTTCTATTTAGTCTGTTAAGTTAGAAAGCATGGTTGGAAGGTATGTGGAGAAAGAGCAAATCGTTCAGGGAAGCTTTCTTATTTTTTTTAAAAGCCACTCTGTGCAAGGCGTTGTGAGATTCAATGAGGAAAGAAACAATGGCCTTTTCTTAAAGGAAATTATCATCTAGAACAGTGCTGTCCAATAGAAATATAATGGAGCCACATATTAATTTAATATTTTCTACCAGTCCTGTTAAAGTAAAAATAATAAGTGAGATTAACTTAAATAATGTATTTTATTTTAATATTTAGCTCAATATTTACAAAGTATTATCAACTCAATATGTAAGCAGTGTAAAAATTATTAATGACATGGATTACATTTTTGTGTGTACAGAGTACTTGAAATCTGGCATGTATTTTATACTTACAGCACATTTAAGTTTGGACTAGTCACATTTCAAGTGCTCAATGACCATAAGTGGTTAACGGGCACCATATTTGGCAGTACAGAGTTATAAGGAAATGGGCATCTATAGCTTTGTGTAATAGAATGATACTAATTTGAATGAAGTACCATGAGAAGGAATGACTAACTAACTTTGAGGGTGAGGGTAGGGTGGTAAGGTGACCTTAGTGAAGTCTTTGGGGAGGAGACATTGGATTTTTGTCCTGAAGGACTAATCCAGGAGAGAAGTGGGGAAAGGACATTTCAGCATTGAGCAGACGTACATATATAAAAGGATGCAGCAAATAATCTGGTATGACTAGAGAGTAGGGCCTGTGAATAGAAGTTTATATTATACAAGCTCAACTTTTCTGAAATCTTTAATGAGGCCAGAAAGATGTAGCTGTCTCAGTATCTATTTTTACAAAGAATGATCACAGCTGTCATCAAATCCTGAGGTTAATGAAATGGTATTGAACTTCTCTGCTTGCTACAGGGAAATCTATTAAGAGAAAGAACACATTAGTTTAAATTTCCCTGGATATCTTTTTAAAGAGACCTGGACCATCAAAATTCTCCCCTAAGCATTTTTAAGTATATTTTCCAAGTATTAAAGAAGGCCAGTAAAAATATTTACTATGTAGTGGATTTGGCATGTTTCTTTTAGGAACATTTTGAATATACTGATTTATTTTTTGATTTATATATATTAATATTTTTTAGTTATTTTATGTGCATTTATATCTTATATAGAACAATTTAAAATTATTACAGTTATAGCTTTTTTTCTTTCATATCAGATGACTGTTTATAGCAGTGGTTTATTTAAAGCTGAATTCTTATTCAGGAACCTTATAGTTATAAAATTGTTTCTGCACAAAGCCAAAATATGCTGCTTTATGACATTTCCAGGATAATGTGATGAAAATTAGTAGACTTGCCCACATATAGCACTGATTGGCCGTGATTGGTAGTGGATCAAATATTATGCCATTTATTCCATTTGACCAACTGGGTCATTAAGGTAGAATGTGGTAAAAGCCTAAGGAAAATCAGACCAGCTTACTAGCAGTCAAGGCTCACATCTACACTGAATTTTTTGTGCACATAGTAAATAAAACAGAGAGGCCTTTTTGTGTCTGAACCGTAATAAAGATCATTACCTTACCACAAGTTGTAGTTAGGGCTATACTTTGATTCTAAAGGCACTTGATAGGCAATGCTCAACAGCCAGCTCAGAAAGTTTCTAGCTAGAATCCTTTTCTAGATAGAAATCAGATAAATTAGGAAGATAGTATGAGAGTTGGTATATTAAGTGTCCTGTTTCTTGAAGATGATGTATCCAGTAGTCTGCCTTTAGAAAGAAATTTTGTTGTGACATTCTAGTGGTCCTTACATGTACCTAGTCCCTGTGTGCCTGCACTGTGATCATATGTCAAAACTGAGTATGAAACCCAGCCACGACAAGAAACTCACCTGCCGGGAAAGCAGCACAAATGAATGTCATAAACTTTAAAAAATGGAGGCCAGGTGTAAGAGAATGAAAGCCATTCGATTGAGTCAGTAAAATCCTTAAAAGTCTCATTAGTACGCCCCCATCCAGAGAGAAGCTAACAGAGTAGGTATTCTTAGTTCTTCTCTCTTCTGACTGAGATAGTTGAAATGGCTTCTGGAAAAAGATGGCAAGTGAACAGGGAAAAATCAACAACTGGAACTGTCTTCCTGTGAAGGAAGAGAATACTCTACTGCTCTACACCAAATTAGAAGACTGATCCAATGCCTTGGTGTTCTGTCACCCTACATGGGAATGAGATACACATACCCTTTCTTCTACCAGTGAGTAGAATGAACCATGGTACAGGATACTTTTTAAACATTGTAGAAGAGAGCTCAAAGTCCAGGTGTATAAATAAACTAACAAGTCAAGTAGAGTAGATATATTTTAAAAAATCTTCGTTACTCTTGTCAATGAATATAGAACTTACAAAAATAGATAAGGAAAACACTCAGATGGTAAGAGGAAAATGTTCCAAGTTATATGAATAGACAAATCTGGGAAAGTGAAAAAACCAAATGAACAATGAAGGGGTATGTATGTAAGAAGTTCCACTTTGGTATCACCATCAGAGATGCAAATGAAAGCAATTGTTAGATATTCTTTTCCCATCAAATGTAAGTCTATCATGAGTCTTAAAAATTATACTTATTGACTAAAATATACATCCATGAGTTAATGCTGGTATAAATAAATACTAATATATACGTATTTAGAATAAATGCTAATTTTAGTGGGTGAATGTATGATGAAAAAATAGGATATTTGCATTGTCTCAAAGTATCTGCTCATAAGATACTTATCATTAATTGTAAGTCAAAAAATATTATGTTTACAATGGAGATGCTTGGCAGACACTACCTTCATCAGTTGACCTTCACTAGTGATGAGACATATTGACATCACATGTCTTCTGCAAAGAGCACACACCACTTCTTGGCATTTATGCTAAAGATGCATAAACTGAATTGAATAAAGGAGTAACATCATAAACCCCCCCAACTGAGGGACATCCTACAAAATAACTAATGAATATAGATAGTGCTCTTAGAGAATGTCATGGGTTTGAAAGACAAAGACTGAAGAACTGTCCTAGGTTGGAGGAGACTAATGAGACATAACAAGCAAATGCCATGTGGAATTGTGGATTTGATCTTGGACCTGAACAAAGGTCATTCGAAGAAAATTGGAGACATTTGTATAAGGTCTGAGGATTAGTTGATAGTCTTGCATTCATTTTAATTTACTGGTTTTTAGAATTGTACAGTGGTTATATTGGAGGAAGATTAGTGAAAGACATATGGAAATTATTTGTACCGTGTTTGCAATCTTTTAAAGTATGGAATTATTTCAAAATGAACACTTAGAATTTTTTAAAAACCTGAGAAACTTTTGACTTCTCTTTAACATTTAGACTAAAACAGATACCTCAGAAAAAACAACTAATCAATTATGGCCTGACTCTTCTACTTCTGATATGATCGTCAGAGATGATATTCTGCGACTTAAAAACGAAATTCAAGTTTTGCAGCAACAAAATCAGGTGGTTAAAAATATTTTCTATATTTTATGAGAATTTTCATGGCCTTGTTAAATACAAAGTATATAATAGACTTTTTAAAAATACAGAAGGTAATGTTAGTAGACAGATTTATTAGTGGGTGATTATGAGTTCCATTTATTTTCCTTTACTAGTGATTATTGTGTAGTGGCTTCATCAGAAGGTAGTGTAATTCCAGTTTCCCTTCTATGTAGTAGCATAGCTAATAGAGGTATTCTTTCCTCAGCCAGCCCTTGACCAAAAACTGAAACCTTGCTTAGATGGTTGCTGAAGATTATTGAATACTAAAACTTATTTTAAGGCACCAGTTAGCCAATACCTCTCTGGTTAAATATTTTCATTTTATGTTTTTCAAAATAAATACAAAACTTAAACTCTTACTCCTGTCAGAAAGCTACTTGTCAAAGATATGAATCTATGCTCTTATCAAAACATGAAGAGACTTATTCTTTTGGGGAATTATGAAAATGATATATCAAATGTTATAGGGCAGAAATCAAGCACAGAGGATGTTAAAAGGTAAGATAAGACTAATCAATGAATATGATGTTTATTTCTTCTAAATACTTTATTCTTTTATTATCTAGGAACTTAAAGAAACTGAAGAAAAACTGAAAAATACAAATCAAGACTTATGTAATCAAATGAGACAAATGGTACAGGATTTTGACCGTGATAAACAAGAAGCTGTGGATAGGTATGATCTATATAGATCCCTGTTGAGATATTAGATTGGCAGAGATGAGTCCGTGGCTTCTCAAATTAGAATTTGGAACACATTTTCAATAGAAACCATGTTATGTAGTAGGTTGGGTTCTATAGCATCATCAAAACTGTAGTTCACTGAAATATTATAGCTTAGTGTTTTTTCTAAGGCTAATCTGGAAAACTATTTTTTATAAAGAAGAAATCTGTGGGAGGGAATATGTCTTCCAAATATGAAATCATAAACTTGGAAACAGACTTTTGGAACATAACTTACTTGTGAGTTGGGTACTGCTAGTATTTGTGTTTAATAAAGATGACTTAGAATTTTGGAACCCATACCCTCAAGTATTTCAATTTTTTATAAACAAAAGTCTTCAACATAAGACTACTCTCTCTCTGAAACATGGCCGCATTCTCACTTCCAAGTGTCTACTTTTCTCTAAAAACATGTGGAGAAAGAAAATTTTGAAGATTCTCATAAGATCATTCGTTGTAAATTATTACCACTTTTGGTTGGGGGAAAGCAGTCTGACCTCAATTATGATTGGCATTAGAGCGAAAGGGTGGGGAGGAAGGAAGGCAGGAAGGCAGGCAGGCAGGCAGGCAATGAATTCATTTTGGTGTTTGTAGTAATGCTGGGCATGGCCGTAGATTCTGCTGTTTGTTTCTAGGTGTGAGAGGACTTACCAGCAGCACCATGAAGCAATGAAAGCCCAAATACGTGAAAGCCTATTAGCAAAGCACGCTTTGGAGAAGCAGCAGCTCTTTGAGGTTTACGAGAGGACTCATTTGCAACTTAGGTGAGAATGAAAAAGAGTTTGGCTGCCCTTTAAGCTGTGGAGACTACATTCTTCTACTCCATAATTTAGAGGAAAATTGTTTGTTATGCAGCCCTTTGTCATTTTTGGTGGTCATTTAGTTGCCGGTTTTGTGTGCCCAAGGTCTGACTTAGATAAGACAAATAAGGAGATGGCTGCTGTGCAGGAATGTTACCTGGAGGTGTGCAGAGAGAAGGATAATCTAGAATCGACTCTCAGGAAGACCATTGAAAAGGAGCAACAGGCTCAGGAGAAGGTACAGTATGAGTTAATGTTGTATCTGCCTCATTTGACTTCTCAGGCCTCAATATTGTCACTTAAACTGACCCACTTGTTCTGGGAAAGTGAATGGGGAAGATTCCCTTACAATCTCTTCACTTTTGGCTGTATCACACTAAGATAGCTTGCTCACAAAATAAATGTCGAAATGATTATTAAAGCCTTCCTATAAAATGTCATATAAATAGAAAATGAAATTTTTTTCTTCTTCTAGATTTATTCTAGAAAGCAGAGAATCACTTTAAGTCTGAACCCCATGGATCCTCATTTTTCATTGTTTACCGCTCAGGAGACCCTGCATAGTCCTGCACGCACTGCACAGAGCATTATGCCGTCAGAGACCTTTTCCTCTGGCTCATTCCTCTCTCTCAGTCCCTAAATGTCACTTTACTCTTCTGGGGAGAAGGGCAGGAGTTTGAGCGTGGGTCTCATGATAGGGGAGGTGATGACACGGAGGAGATGGCACAGAAGGTCAGAGTGTTAGCATAACTTCTTTCAGGGAAGCTGGAGGAGCTACATACAGTAGATTCTCCAACTCTGCCTGATTCTTCCAAGTTGCCCTTGGTGAGTGTCCAGGAATAAAATCACATGTAAATAGTCACTGCTCCTCTTTTCTTCCCTGTCCTGGCTTGGAGCCTCCCCCAGCCTCACACAGGTCTGACTGTCCCTTACACTTCGGACCAGATGGCAGACCACAATTTGAAAGCCACCTGCCTCAAGATTAGAAAATATTTTGAAAGGCTTGAATAAATGTTCTATACAGTGGTTTTTGAATAAGCTATATTAAAGCAAGTTATTGCCACCACAGCCTTAAAAAGAATAGTAAAGAGCGGGTGAAGAATTCAGTTCATTTAATATTTTGATTATTTTTGAATAGATTAATATGATGAAAAAACATGCCATGCATACATATCATCTAGTGGAAACAGAACTTCTAAAGGAAGCTGTTTTAGTTAGTGCTGGCAGTAGAAAGGTTCGAAAAGGGTCTTAAATTACCTTGAAATTGAGGACTTAGCTTTCAGCAATGTTTTAAAAATTAAAATTGGGAGATCTCTAGTGTGGTTCCTTTTTTTAAAATATATAAATTGGCAAGAACATAAGAGCCATTTTCTGAAAGAGGTCATTCTTTTCAGGAATATTTTCTGATGCTTTTAAAAGAATCAATTTGACTATAAAATTTGATCTCATATATAATAGGTCAGTTGCAATTAATAGCTGCTACTGACTCATATTTTGATTTGTGAGTATGCACAAGTACCAGAAAGAAAGTTAAAACTGCTATTTGGTCCCTTAAAAAACAAAACGAAAAAAAAAAAAAACTTAGAGGTAAACATTTTTTTCCTTAAAAATTTAAAATTCTTGTTCCATAAAATTGACTCAACCCCTCCCCCCCACCTTTGGGTATACAGTCTATATATTTTTAACACATTTATAGATTAATCAGGATACAGAACAGTTTTATCACCCTAGAACACTCCCTTGTGCTACCCCTGAGTAGTTACACCCACCCTACGTGCCCAATTAAAGGGTCAATGTACTTAAAGCATTAGAAGTTTAATTTCTTCCTTCTCTGGGAATTCTTTAGTTTTTTTAATTATAGATTTTTATAAGCCCTTAGTAGTCTTCGTAAGCCGGTCAGAACTGAAACACCTGTGTATCTAGGAGACTTTATCTAATCTTTTCACATCCTCTAGAGGTAGGCAAAAATAGACCAATTTGTTTTTTAAAGAAATGTTTCACACACACAATGGAAGAATCTTATTAAACTCTAGAGCAAGCTAGGGAACTTCTGGGATAGCCCTTCTCTGCAGGACGTAAGCTATTTCCCTGTGGTTGAGCTCTAGGTAGGGAACTTAATATGGATACAGAATTTATGAGACAGGTGACACCAACAGCCCGAGGGGGTGTTTTCATGTTTCACACGTGCTGTTTTCTGAAACACTCGTCGAGTCAGGCTGTAGGTTAAGTAGGAGCTCAATTCCACATTTAAAAGCTTTATTAACACACAGAACTTTCCTCACATGTTAACCTGGCTCATTCAGAGAAAGAGAAAAAAGAGTCATGTATACAGGACCCTTCAGATTGGGTAGTAATCAGAAGAGACTATGACTTTGCAGACAGGGCAAAGATGTTCAACATTCCCATTCATAATGCCATTCTTATACACATTCTTAAGCTTTATTTATATAATTAAGATACAAGCTTAGAAATTAGAGGATTTTTTTTTCTATCCAAGTTATGCACAAGAAATTTAAATATTTTTAACTTGGAGACTATTAGTGTTGTACAGAGATATTTACTTGAATTTTGTTTAAAGAGGCAGCTATTGGAAGAAAGAGAAGAACGGGTAAGCAAACTGCAGGCAGAACTTGAAGAAAAGTACCAGGATACTCTTGTGATGGAAAAGAACAAGTGGCCAAAAGAACAGGAAACTAATATTAAACAGCAAGTTGAAAATGAAGTGATGTTAGCCAAAGCTCTCTGGGATAAGGAAGAGAAAGAGGTGTGGATTAAAATTTCTTTCTGGTCACTATGTCTAAAAAATATAGTAGCAGCTGCAGAAGACAATTCTTCCTGAACAGACATATAAGTTTTAATTGCCAGGCACATACATAATCATCCATTTTTTGCCTTTCAGAATTGAGCTATTAACAGCTAACCATACCAGTTTTATTATTAAAAGTTTAGCCCCTCATGACTCTTCAACCCAATTCAGGATATAACAGGCTTTATGGACACTTCTTTGGTTCCTCAGAATGAAACCATGCTCTAACTTCATATTGTGAAATGATTCTGATAACTGTAGACCAGTATCTATAATTAACAAATAATCCATATCATGGATTAAAATAAAGAAGTAATAGACTGGCTCAGAAGCACAGAATGTATCACCTCTATTGGCTATGTTGCAAATGAGATTAGGAAACACTAATAGGGCCCTAGAAAGTTAAGGACCAAATTGTGATCCTAAAGATTTATTTGGGGAGGAAAGAACATTCTCAAGCTTATTTAAACTACATTCTTCTGTCTTACAAAATTGCTATTAATTTGGTAGCCAGAGGAGCAGTTTGAGAATCTTGGATATCCAGGAGATGGGGAACAGGAAAAGGGAAAAGCAGATTTTGCTATTTCACAGTTTTGCCTAAGACTGATTGTGTTTAGATCCATCCTACTATACTGTTAAAGTGGAAAAATCATTAAGACCTTCTTCCAGTAAAGTCTTCCCCTTGAATTCAGTCTACTTAGTAAAAATTCCACATTATAAGAAATACGATTCTAATATGCTCAAGTAAGTAAACAATTTTTTAGATTGTTCAGTTTTGGGTTCATTCATTAGATTTACTCAATGCCTGCTCTGTGCAAAGTGTGGTGTTGATGGCAAAACACATTAATAGCAACTGTTTTTTTTTTTTTTTCTTTCTTTTTATCATGCCATCTTTGTTCTGGCAATATGAAAGCTTCCAGAAAGTTGCATATTGAAAGCAAGATAGTCTGACCTTACACAATGTATTTGAATCTTCCATGTAATTTTTGTCATATAGTTAAGGTCAAAGAGTAACTCTCAAGTTGTACTTGAGAATGGATTTTCATTGACTTAAATTTCCAAACCTCTTTTATTACTGTAACAATGTCTAGATGGTTTTCAAACACAGCTGTGGCTGCTTTCTTGGCTAGCTGTTAAAATAATTCTAGTTTTTACTTATTCGAATATTTTTCTTCTCATACAACTTTTCTTCTGAAAACAGATCAAACAAAAACTCATTCAACAGCTTGAAAAGGAGTGGCAATCTAAGCTGGATCAAACTATAAAGGCAATGAAAAAGACGACCTCAGATCGTGGCAGCCAAACTGACCAAGTAACCACCATTGATGTTATTTCCAAGAAAGAGATGGCAACCATGATAGAAGAGCAGAAGCGAAAGATCCAGCAAAATTTAGAACAAGAGAAGGAAACAGCTATCAAGGGGACTTTGAAGAAACTCGAAGCTGAATTGGAACTCAAATACTGTGAAAAAATTGCAAAACAGGTAATAGGCAGATTTATTATGGTAAAATTATTGGAAATGCCTGCCTCTTCATGAAAACCTATAAAACACCACCATTGAACTTGTACGTAACTTTATACTTCTAAAATTTTGTGCATTTCTAGGACAGTAAACCTGTCATGTTATTCCTAAAATTTTCTTCAATATATTTCTGTCACAAAACTATCACCCTTTGGTTTTTCTGTATATTCTTTCAGTTTACAAAATAATTGTTCTTCTAAAATTAATCTAGGCATTAAGATGCCTGAGGTTAAAGTAAAATGGTGGTTTTGCATCTGGATGAAGCACAATTTAATGATGAATCCTTCATATCTAGTTTTGTAGAAAATATTCCACTAAGTTAGCTGTAGTCAAGTAGACCTAAGCGAGTAAGGTATTTCACAATATTTGCGTTGAGACTTGATGCAGAGTTGAATCTGCAAGCATGCCCTTAGATGGAACTTTGTCTATAATTCCCATCAGCTGCCCAAAAGTGGTGCCGTTGCCTTTCCTCTGAAGCACTCACAAAACTAGCTTTTAACTGAGGCAAGTTACTTGATTTCAGAGAAATGACATACTGAGAAAAGCATAGCCTGTGTTAACAGAATAAAGATGGGTTATCTGTTATATCTACCTAATCTATTACAGTGATTTTCAAAATTTTTGGTCTCAGGAGGACTCTTTTAAAAATTGAGGACTCCAAAGAGCTTCTGTTTGTGTGGGTTATATCTACTGTATTGGAAAATAAACCTGAGAAATATTTTAAAAACAAGAATGCCCAAGCTACATTCCTCTGGCTGTCAGAACAATGACGTCATCACATAGCCATTGGAGAACCGTGCTGCTTACCCAGGAGAGAATGGGAGTAAAAAAGGCAAATAGTGTCTTAATATTATTTTGGAAATAATTTTGACCTCACAGACTACCTGACATAGTTTCTACCCCTCAAGAGGTTCTTGAACCTTTACATATATATTTTTTATATATAGATATATATTATAAATATACATATATTTATAGTATGTATATATATTTATAGTATATATAAATATATAAAATATGTATATTTATATATTTATTTATTTATTATTTTGGATCTATTATTCATTATAAACTCTTAAGATAATACCTGAAGTAAGGTTTTTTAAAATACACTCAGCTTTTGATAAATACTTGACATTCTGCTTATTTATTTCATCGTTCCACATGATTTTACAGGGCACCCTAAAAGGCAAAATATATAATGGTTTCAAGGACATCTTCAATCAGTTAAATAAATCGTTTTCTGAAATGTTCACTGAAAGCTTTGAACAGAGTTAAGTGAATTTTCCATAAGCAAAAAAGATGAGTTTAAGGGTACTGCTTTGGTATTTATGAAATTATTAATCTTGTGAGGAAACTATAGAATAATATAGAAAGAAAATGTTTCATAATAACTTCTTAAGTAATATAAATTTCTGTAGGACCATCATCTTTCCCCAGTATTTTTAACGCCCTGGGGTTTACCCATAGATATATTTAGCACTTTAGTGAGATATACAGCCTCTTAAATTAACTGTGCTTTTGTGTATATGTATGTGTGTATACATTTCTGTGTGTGTCTATGTGCATTTTAAAATAAAGGAATAAGGAAAAATTATTTCATAATATTCTGATAACTGGTGACAGATTTACAACCAGATCACCCTCTTAATCCATCAAGTCTTACATTTTTGTCTGAATTGAGCTATCACCCTCATTCTTTAGCACAAACTCATTCTTGACAGTAGGAAAATTTACCAGGTGTAAGGCTCTAAACTATATTGGGGAACTGTGTGTGTGTGTGTGTGTGTGTGTGTGTGTGTGTAGGGCGTGAGGAGTGAGGAGGTGTTAGGCATAGCGATTGGACAGCAGTCCTCTGGCAGTCCTCTTTTTTCCCACAGTAAGCAGGAGTTGTAGGAAATGGCGATTGGTATTTCATATAAACCCTTCTAAAATAGTGTTGATAGTCAGACATATTTAGATCCCCACTTCCTATCGTGGCACTTGTACGGGACACTATGGAAAGTTTAAAACAGAAGGATTTGAATGTGCTATTGGGATAAGGTAGAGTGCTTGAGGTCAGTGTAACTGTAATGTAGTGAAATAAAATGTAAAATATACATGAAATCATAGTTGCTATTTCAAAATGGGGTCTTTTTTCGAAAGCCCCCCTTTTGACCCTTTTTCTTTTGCAATGTACTACAGGTAGAAGTAGCTGTGCAGAATGCTCGTCATCGATGGCTGGAAGAACTACCTGACCTTGTAGAGTATCAGGCACTTGTGAGAGCAGAACAAAAGAAGTGGGAAGAACAACAAGAGATCTCTGTGGCCAAGCGGGTAAGAGGTCTCCTGGAAAGAAGCTTCAGGAGGTGGTCTCACCTAACCCCCTCTCTCATCTAAGTCCTTGGAATTTGTACCTACTCATAACGTTGTTAAGGGTTTGAATATGATAATGCATGTTAAGCATTAGCTCATGGCCTAGGAAGTGGTGTCTGTTCTTGTCATCAAGTTGTTTGGGGAGAGATAATGTATTTTAGCATCTTAAAGCTCTCATAGTTAGGAAGATAACCTTAACTCAGAAACTAAATCTCATTGTATCTTGCCCTATCTTTAGGTGTGATTGAGAACAGGTGTTTATCTATTTATTATTAGCTATACAATATTCTTTCACATGCTTAAAGGTTGTTTTCTGTGCTGTGTCAGTAGTCTTATAACATATTCTTATTGGTAAATAGCCAGCTCTCCCCTCCAGAGAAGTCATCTTCCTTGACTAGAAAATACATATTATAACTATGTGTACTCTTCCAACTTAATTTACTAGTCTGAACCAATTCTAATCAAAATGTCAACAAAATGAACATAGTTTTGAAAGCTGACGCAATAATTCTATAAAATCTATTTTGAAAAATACAGGGACTGGAATTTTTTTTAATGTTCTGGAAAAGAAGTTGTAGTCCAGCCTTAATGCAAACATACTGAAGAGCAACAACTCAGGCAATATTGAGTTGCAAAAATATAATTGTTTTTAATTCAGTGCAATATGGATTTCAGAGATAGTCCCAACTATGAAGAAAAGCTTAATAAATTATGTTAAAGTGGGAATGAGGAATTATTCCATAATAAATAGTCTTATGATAGCCAGATAACACTTTGGGAAAATTTTGTTTACCTACACATATGTATTACAGTAAACTCTAGGTTGATGAAGGAGTTAAACACTTTTAAATGAAAATGTAGAAAAGTTAAAAGAAAATTGAATATTTCAAATCTATATCATAATAACAACTCAACGGCAAAGATAAAGTAGGAGGTTGAAATAGGTACAGACATTTAAAACTCTTTTGTTTTTGTAATAAATAATAAAGCTAAGGGGACAATAATGAAAATGAATCAAACATGAAAATTACTAATATTAACACATGATAAAGAGCTCATGCAAATTTATAAGAAAAGCGAGAGTCTGTCTGTGGATTAGTATGCCAAGGATATGAGCAGATAATCTTCATGAGAAGTCCACATAGCAAAAATTAGCAGAACATTCATTCAGATCTACCAGTATTAGGGAAATGCAGGCTAAAACAAACTGAAGGCACCATTTTTTGCTGTGTGTATAAATCTTCTCTTCTGAATTGTAATACACACAGACTATAATTCCAGTGTCAAGTGTATACTTTATTCTTGATGTCACAACCATTTTGGAAAATGATGTGGTGTAAACATAAGTTGTAAATGATTTGTAACTTGCATTCATTATGTTATTCCACAGATTACTTAAGGAAATAATTCAACATAAGTAAAAATCTATCTTAATATTTTTCTTAAGTTATGTGGTGGTATGTGGGTGGTCATAACATTATTCTCTATACTTTTTAGTACGTCTGAAATATTTCAGAAGGAAATTAAAGAAGGAGAGAGAAAGAGGCAACAATATGATGATGAGGATATGTGTCTCAGCTCCATAGTCAAGTAGGAAAATAAAATTAGGTATAATATAAAAAATAAAATAGGCCAAGAGATCTTTTCTTAAGGAATACAGAAGGCCTGAATGTATGTGAATACAGAAATATAGAAATGAGAGAACAGTGTGTTGCTTCTCAAACTTGCATGCATGAGAATCACATGCAGGGTATGTTAAAGTGTAGATTCCTAGGTTTTCCTCCTAGAAAGAAAGATTTGGTAGATCTGGAGTGCGTCATGAGAATTTGCATTGCCAACAGGCTTCCAGTATCATAGTGATACTACTGGCCTTTGGACCACACCCAGTTGTGAGAAGCACTAATCATATCAGCCACAAAACATAATGCTAACTAACATGTGCATCTCCTTCCTCCAAACCGAAGGGGGTCCAGAAAGGTTCAGCTTCATTAGCATTGGCTGGAGAGTTCTTTTAAGTTTAGAGTGATCAGACGAGATCTGTGGCAATTTAAAGCCAGTTTCTAGAATTCAGAAATAGTCAAGTCGGTTCAGTGATTCTCAGACTTTGCTGTGCGTTGGAATAACTTGAGGCTCTTCAAAATGTACTGCAGTTTGGCCCCCCACCCTCAAACGTCATGTTTTTATTGGTATGGAGAGTGGCCTGGGCATCAGGATTTTTAAAAGCTCCTCAGGTGGTTCTAATGTGCAGCAAAGTTTGGGAACAACTGAGTTGATTAATGCTGTCAAATACTCCTTGCAAAACTTCACATGACAAGATACACATTTTTGGTAAAGTTGGGCAAGTCATCCAAACTCCATGGGATCCACCACTTCCATGCAAGTCACCTGTAAAGATTTCCAGGCATCCATTGCAACATGACTTGTTTTCTCTAAAACCACTATTTAAACATGTTTCAAATCACTACAGAATTATTCTGCTGGTAGCAAAGGAATTTCACAGTGAATTCCTTTGTAAAACTCACTTTAGATAGTGGGTTCCTTTGGTGGAAAATTTAGTAAGTAGATATCCTGTCTCATCATCCCGGACATATATATACTATTGATTAATGGCAAACGCCACTCTCTAGGCCAAGCCTTTGGAAATGCCTAGTTCTGTATGTTGACACAATTGTGTCCTTGTGACTTCTTTGAATTCAGCCAGGGAATATTAGAAGTAAAAAGGACTCAAGGTTATTATCCAGTCTGCTCATTATATAGGTGAAGACACTAAGAGCCAAAGAGATGACTTTTCCAAGACCATGCATCCAAAAGTAATACTAACAACATATTAATAATATTTATTGAGTCCTCATTATCTGCCAGGCTCTGGGCTAAGTATTTTAAATGGAATGTCTTATGTTATTTAATTCTGAACAACCCTATCCAATTGGCATTGTAATTATCCCCATTTTATAGAGCCTCATTTTATACAAATTGAGGCTCAAAGAAGTTGAAGAATGAGCCTGTGGTTCCATAGCTGGTAAATTAATTTCAGCCCTTTCTCTCCAGAGTCTGCTCTGTTAAGCACCTGTGCTAGGCAGCCTTTGCAATCAGTGGCAGGATTAGACCTAGAGCCCAGGTTTTTTGATATCCCTATTATTTTCTGGTTATGTACTATCTACTGTTTTCTGTGATCCACTAGTCCTATTACTTTGTTATGAAAACAAATTAGATTAATGAAAAATGACTCTTCCTGTTTGGTATTGTCTTTAATGAACTATTCTAGCCTCTCAAATTGTATTAAAGCATAATTATGTTTATCACCAAATAATTATGCAGGTATATGTTATATTTCTAAGTAATATTAAGATTTCCTTATCAAACTGCTTTGGCTTTAGGTAAAAGATACTTAATTTGTTGGGGGCTTAGATAAAATTTGAGACTGTATCTGTATTAAAAAACCTAATATGAAATATTTTTCTAACTTTTTTATACTCTTATATTTTTTATTTACATATATATACATATGTGTGTGTGTGTGTACTGGGGGCCAGTTTCAACGTTTAGTTACACATCAAGAAACCAATGTTTTGTTTCTAAATAACATGAGGCATAAACTATTAGATGATTTTACATGAAGGAAAAGATCCTTGAGTATAGTGTAAGTATATTTTTTAGAATGTCTTATCTAAAGTTCAGAGGTTAACCCAAGTAATTAATTGTTTTTTTACTAAGAAGGATCATAAAGACTCTTTAAATGTATATTGTTATATTCTTTAGATATTGTTTGCTGTTTCTGAAGCTAAAGAGAAATGGAAAAATGAGTTCGAAAGTATGAAGAAAAACCTAATACCTGGAAAGGAGTTGGAAGAGAAGATTCATTCTCTTCAGAGGGAACTAGAGTTAAAGAACGAGGAAGTCCCGGTGGTAATCAGGGCTGAGTTGGCTAAGGCTCGGAGTGAATGGAACAAAGAAAAGCAAGAAGAAATTCACAAAATTCAAGAACAAAATGAGCAAGATTACCGGCAATTTTTAGATGATCATAGAAATAAAATTAATGAGGTGCTTGCGGCAGCTAAAGAAGACTTTATGAAACAAAAAAATGAACTGCTTCTTCAGAAGGAGACAGAATTACAAACATGTCTAGACCAGAGTCGTAGAGAATGGACTATGCAGGAAGCCAAGAGAATCCAACTGGAAATCTGTCAGTATGAAGAAGACATCCTGACTGTACTTGAGTTTCTCTTAAAGGATGTCCAAAAGGAGCACATCAGTGGTTCAGAGGACAAACAGCTTTTAGAAATCATGTCAATTTGTTCTTCAAAATGGATGTCTGTCCAATATTTTGAAAAACTAAAGGCCTGCATACAGATAGCATTTCAAGATATACTTTATCTACTTATAGAAAATACTGGCTCAGATTTGGAAGAGGTATGTTCCTGAGAGTAAAAAGAGCTATTGAACATCAAGGATGATTGTAGAAGTTGTATGTGACGTTTTTCCTTTCTTCATTTTGCAGTTTAATAGATGTAAGACTTGTGTTTCTGCCAGTGGTTTAAAAAACTTTTTGTAGCAAATCTAAAGGCTTGCATATTGTGTTGCAAAAAACTTTACTACTTCTTAGACACTACTTCAAAGTGTCACAGATATGAGCTTTTAGCCTCTGGACAACTTTTTCATAAAGGATATATGCTATTCTTTGTAAGGGCCTGAGATTTTAGAAACTGGGTAACTCTCATTCCTATTTTTTGTTTTCTGGGCCTGACCATTTCAAAAAATATGTGTCATATTAAACTAGAGTTTCTTAAAAGCTTCTAAAGAGTTTGGAAGCCTATTTCTTGCCCTCAAGAAATTTATATCTATTTGGGTAAAAAATGCCAAATAAGTACAAAGAGTATTCATATGGAAACAGGCAAATAGAGGTATGCTTTACTTACACAGAACTCTGGTGCCTAGTTTCATTGGTGTCTATTTATGGGCATGTGCATATAGAATGAATGAATTGTATTCTTTTAGTTATATAAGTCCCCTCTGAGGACTTATATGTGTGGAATATATATAACATTGGTGTGGAAATTCTGATAAAACCAAAGTCTTGCTGCCTTATAATTAAAGAAATGAGGTATGCATGAAAGATCCAGAATGCTAGTCTAAGTATTATGATTAAACAATTTCAACATTTGGAGTTGAGGTAAAAAAAAAAAAATGCCATTATAAGATTTTTCTTATAGGAGAGTTGAGACATAAGAGTTAAGGTCTATCAAGAAGATATCATGAGTACAGATTTTGAAGGCCAGGATTGAGCATTAGGTATTAATATCCACTTGAAAGAGTTATAAACTAGAAAAAAAAATCTTGACTTCCAGTGTCATGCTTGATGATAACTAGCTCATTACTTGGGGCATTCATATGTTATAATTGCTCATCTGAAAAAGAAAATACAAATCCCGGGCCTAATTCCTTGAGTTTTGGTAGGATATCCATGACACAGCTTGGCCTTTCTGCTTCCTGCACTTGAAAGTGTAGAATTTTAGAGCCGAAAGGGACCTGAAACATTAGCTGACTCTATCTCAGTTCACCCCAGTTGATATTTTTATCCTTGATTTCACAAACATGTTAGTACAGGGTTGCCTTCATTGTAAAAATAACTAGGTAAGATCACTTCACATGAATACTACTTAATATTTTGTTGGGATTTTCTGGAGAAAATAGACAATTAAAATAAAAATTATATGTAGCAGGGTTTTGAGGCTGAGAAGCAATGGGACAATTATGTTATGTGCTTTCAAGTCTGCTTTCCTGAAAAGGCAATCTCTGCTATAAAATCAAGAAACTACAGCACTTTGCTTCTACTATATACATATGGTAGAATACATGTATATATAAAATCAATCCTGGGGTATTTTTATGGATTTATAATTGTGTAAGCAGTGTAAGATCATCTGTGTGACTTAATGTAGCTCCTAAGTCTATGGAGACAGACTACTCATATAATCTGGTTAAGAATTTAGACATTTGCAGCATTTGTCGGTGGGTCAGATTCCATTCCTGAGGGAAGGATGGCTTGGAAATGCTTAATCTGGTCTTTGTCATAGAAGTAATACTTGACCTTCTGCCATTTCCAAGCTAACTCAGTTCAGGGCCTTAAGGTAAACTAATGATTATAGTGACTATAATTTTGCAATATGTGTGCCATAAATGTAAAGAACTATGGTTTATAATTCATTAAATCTAGTTTTTAGAATTGTTTGTAAAAATTAAAACAAAAAAATTATTTATCGGTATATATAAACAAGTCCTCATTAAAAAAAACTGAGATGATTGAAAGTTTTTTAAAATGGAGAGGATGCAGTGAAGGAAATAATATAGATTTCAAGAAAACATTGTCCAAGAAACCATAGGTTAAAAAAAAAGAAAACAAATGCCTTATCTAAATATATTAATACGATAATGTTAATCAAAATATATTACTATAACAATAAGAGAAAATGGAAATATCAAATGGAATACAGTTTTCAAGCAAACTTAAGGATGTATGTTCTGTCTTTTCTTACCACAAAAGACAAATTGAAATTAAGACAAAAAGATTACTGCTTTCTTGCCTTTTTTGCTATCTTGTCTTCTCCAGTTTTGAGTAGAAACTGGAAACGTTGACTGCCTTTGGGTTCAGCTTTTCTTATTCCTTTTGGCTTCAACCCACAGCCTTTTGATTGTATACAGTTTGCCTTTTCTCTGTAATTGCTGACCTCTGCTTCTGTTGGGTGTCATAGGTAGGTTTCCTGACATCAGGTACATGGGTTCCTCATAATCAAAATCAAGGCCTCTAGAATCAAGTATATATGTTTTTTAAGTAATTAAATCAGACTGCTTTCTCTTTAATATCACATATTCTATTCATTTGGATTTAATAGATATCCAAGATCTGAAGATAGTCATAAAAATCCATTAATGAATTTAGTATTATAGCTGTATTGCCCGTGACAGGGACTAGAATGCAAAAAAGCATTCAATAAATGTTAGTGAGAAAATAGTCTTGTGCAAGATGTTGAATTTAAGCCCAAGTTTCTGTCTTTTAGCATTGGAATTCAACTGGCCTTCTCTACAAAATTACAAATGTATGTTAATTTAGAAGCATATAAAGTACTATATAAATTTAAAATAGCTTTATTTTCAATTTGTGGGAGACAAAAGGTATTATAGTTGCTAGTGAATTTGGCCCCTACTGCAGTGAAAATGTTCTGGATTTTCAAGAACAATTCTGATTTCATGTTGTCCATACTGTGGTTTGATCACATAAACCGTTAAAAATATCTCAAATTCCCGTATGTAAGTGTGCTAGCCATATCTCCTGTCTGTCTCATAGCAAGCCCCACCAGTCCTCTGTCAGACAATGTTCTAATTTGGAAAATGTGGCCATAGGAGGCTAGTTCTTAGTATAGTGGCAATATTCATGGAACAGCCTAAGAAAAATATTAGTGATAGCTCAGGCAAGATTTTTTTCAGGTAGTTTTTTGTTTTGTTTTGTTTTGTTTGCAATTTTAACATTAGCATTTTAAATAGAAAACCGTATAAAGATTTTTACTAGGCCTTAACTATAAAGATAATTTATTTCAGAGAAATATGGCTGAGATCTTTAAGGATCCTACCAGCCGGGGAACTGGCAAAGGAGACTCTGGAGTCCCAGCAGCCCTGCGTGCACCCTCTTCTGGACGCCACGTTCGGTCCTTGGTCTTGCAAGGAACAGAAGCCCAAGCTGGTAATTGAATTTCGTTCCCTCCGGTGTTTGTAGCATCATTGCTAATGACCCTTCCAGAGGGCTGCTTTGAGGATAAAAGGAGATCAAAGATGTGAACGGTTTTCCAAGTGAACAAATACATAATATTACTCTGACTTACTGTGTATCGTTTGTTTAAATATCATTTTGTATCTAGACGACAGGGTTGATTTGGGCTTCTTACTACTTCTATTTTTTTTTTATAGTTTTCCCTTTGTTGACAAGTGATTCTTTTTTTTTTTTTTTTGAGACAGTCTCACTTTGTTGCCCAGGCTAGAGTGAGTGCCATGGCTTCAGCCTAGCTCACAGCAACCTCAAACTCCTGGCTCAGGCGATCCTCCTGCCTCAGCCTCCCGAGTAGCTGGGACTACAGCCATGCGCCACCATGCACGGCTAATTTTTTCTATAATATTAGTTGGCCAATTAGTTTCTTTCTATTTATAGTAGAGACGGGGTCTCGCTCTTGCTCAGGCTGGGTTGAACGCCTTACCTCGAGCAATCCGCCTGTCTCGCCTCCCAGAGTGCTAGGATTACAGGCGTGAGCCACAGCGCCCAGCCAAGTGATTCTTTTTTTTTTTTTTTTTTTTTTGAGACAGAGTCTCACTTGTTGCCCAGGCTAGAGTGAGTGCCGTGGCGTCAGCCTAGCTCACAGCAACCTCAAACTCCTGGGCTCGAGTGATCCTTCTGCCTCAGCCTCCGGGTAGCTGGACTACAGGCATGCGCCACCATGCCCGGCTAATTTTTATATATATATCAGTTGGCCAATTAATCTTTGTATTTATAGTAGAGACGGGGTCTCGCTCTTGCTCAGGCTGGTTTCGAACGCCTGACCTCGAGCAATCCGCCTGTCTCGGCCTCCCAGAGTGCTAGGATTACAGGCGTGAGCCACAGCGCCCGGCCAAGTGATTCTTATTATAAGGAGAATAATGAGAATTTTAATATAGCAGTCATGCTTTTATTCCATGACTATTGAGAAATCAAGGGTTTCCCATAAGAGAATTGCCGAAGAAGAGTTTTTCATTTAAATTACTGAAGCTTATTTCAACCATTTTTTTTTTTAGTGGAAATCTTTCTGAAGTATATTAGATGTTTTCTAATTTTTATTTGTGAGTTTTTCGACGCAAGGGCAGTATTTTTAATCTCCAACACGTGGCAGAGTGAATTATATGTAGTTTGTACTCCTTGGTCACTTGATGAATTAATAGTGTAACTTTTCCTTATTTAGACTTGTCATTATGACAAAGAATTATTGTACTGTATAGCCCCTTGTATTCAGAGCTTACTGAGGAATATAGGGCTTTTATTGCCAATTCACTGAGATTTCTGAGCTTGGAATTGGCACATCCTTTATTCGCTCCCATCGTTTTTGTGATATTGACCCCTTGCAACCTGTTTCTTCCCTCCAAACACAAACCCTCACACACCCGCCTTCCTGCTGCTCATTTGCTGTTTTCCACTTTAACCTGGAAAAGAACTAACAATCGCCAGGGCTAAGCATACCTACTAAGTCAATAACCTTTGTTTCTGCACATTTTTAATTCAGTGTGCAATGTTACCAGAATCTTAGAGAATCTCTGTCTGTCCTAAGAGGTTAGCGGGCAGTTATTTTTCCTCATTGTTCACAGACCCTTTACCCTTACGTCTAGGTTCTAGATGACTGAGAGTATTTTACAGCCAATTAGGTGGATGGTAATACTGCCTTATTTATATTTTGATTCTTTCTTTTTATTTTATATCACATTCGGGATAGCCTGAGAATTACATTTTAATCTGTGAAATGGGTAGAGACAAGTTATAGATGTTATTTGGGAAGTCCTTTCCATATGAAAGAAATTAGTTTTGGCCAAAGACAAATCAGACTATATAAAATGATTTTTCTTTCTGTAATCTTTTTTCCCTTAAAAACAAACACATTAACAAATTCATTAGAAAGGATTAAATGATCTAAAACTTGTTAAAGTGAAAAAGTCTTTTATAATTCTAACACTAAGGAGTAGCACTGTTACTATTTTTAAAGTAACTTAAATGTTAATTATGAAATACTTATTTCATGCAACGAATATATGTAATTCATATGTAAGTTAGAAAGCCTAATGATCAGGAACCCACTATTCAACTTAAGGCATAGAATATCACCAATACTGTTGATCACAATTCCATCCTCACAACTTGTCCACAAATCTGAGGTAACAGATACTCCGATTTTTAAAAATTATTCTCTTACTTTTCTTTATGTTTTGACCAAATGTATATATATCTTCAAATAGGTATTGATTTTTTTGTCTTTTAAAGCATTATAAATATGGTTTAATACTCATTATATTCTTTGTAACTTTTTCCCACTTAACATCATGCTTCTAAGATTTTTCTGTGTTGATGCCTATAGCTCTAGTTCATTCATTTTTCATTGCTGTGTAGTATTCCATTGGATGACTATACTATAATTGATTTATCTATTTTCTTGTCAATGGGCATTGACGTGGTTTCCAACTTTACAACAGTTTCTTAAATGAAAAATATAAATGTAGTATGGTACCAGTGTGCTGCTTCATTGATCTTTTAATGCTCATGAACATAAAATGGCTCCATTTAAATGAAACTAAAATATCAGGAGAGAACTAAGAACTATTTTGTTGGACTTTACATTATCATTTTGGATATTGACATCTGAGTGAATCTATGCCAATTGTATTCCCACTTTATTATATCACATATAATAAATTGCTAATAATCTACCTTTTATATCATTTTTATATATTTTAATTTTATGAATTCTATAATACTAATGACAACAGCTATTGTTTATTGTGTACATGCTCTAAGCCAGGCACTGTGCCAAACAATTTTTATGCATTTGTCTCCCAACAATTTTAGGTCCTTTTTTAAATTGAAGGTAATTTCAAACTTACAGAGAAGTAGCAAAAATAAAAATAGTTACAAAGAACACTCAGATATTTTTTAACTAAATACACCTATTGGTATCATTTTACTGCGTTTTGTGCTCTTCTGTGTGTGTGTGTGAATATTTTCTTTTTTTTTTTCTTTTTTTTTTTTTACGAACCATTTGAGGGTAAGTTTTATATACATTGTGATCTTTTGTGCCTAAGTGCTTCATGCTATTTTCCAAAAATAGGAATATTTTCTTATTTAATCTTGGTACGGTAAACTTAACATTAAATAAAAGTATTGTGTCAGTCTGCTGTTTGTATTCTAATTTTGTCAATTGATTCAATAATATCTTGTATAGCATTTTTTTCTGCTATAGTACAAGAATCTGTCTGGGATCAGGTGTTACATTTATTTGTCGTGTGTCTTTAGCCTCCTTTTATCTAGAACATTTCCACAGCCTCTTTTTGACTTTTATGACATTGATATTTTTGAGAGAAATATTCTCTCTCCCCTCTCCATGCTTTTTTTAACAGGACTTTTCTCATTTGGGGTTTGTCTGATGTTTCTTCATGGTTAAATCCAGGTTGTGCTTTCGTGGCCGGAATACTACATGGGCGTGATGTGTTATCACATCTGGAAGCGCATGGTGTCCATTTGTCTTTTATTGGCCAGGTTAATTTTGATCACCTGGTCAAAATGTCCAGTTTCTTCACTATATAATTATTGGGTTTTTTTTTTTTTTACCTTTGCAATTAATAGCAATCTGTGTGAAGACACTTTTAAGACCATGCAAATATCTTTCTCATTAAAACCTTCTCTTAGACTTGTCAAATATTGATGAGTCATGCGTGATCCTGTCTTTGCTATAATGGTTGTGAAATTATAATTTTTCTAATTCCAGATTTCCCTCCACTTATCTCATTTGGCATTCAGCTTGTTGTCATAATCAAGAATCCTCCCTTTTCGTTTGCCTGTTTGTCTGTCTGTCTGTCCATCCATCTGTCTACCTCCCTACTCCCTACCCATCTAGTCATCAATCCATCCATTTATAGGATTATTGATGTGACCCATAAGTTCTGTATTTTCAGTACTTTATAATTTATTATTATATTTAATTAGCATTCAAATTATCCCAGATTTAGCTAGTGGAGCTCCTTCAAATTGGCTTCTTTGTCCTTCTGACATGCCAGTATTTTTGAGTATTTTCTTAGTTCTGACATAGCAAGATATTTCAGTCTCATTTTGTATATACCCTCTCCCAGCCATTTCTTGATGATCCCTGGGTCCTCTTAATAGGGAATGGTATTCAGTACTAAGATCCCAAGCATTCAGTTTCATAGCAAAAGTAGATGGTATTATCCAACATTACATATTGAAAAACTAAGCCTCAGAGAGGTTAAATGACATGCTCTAAGTCAAACAGCAAAAAAGTAGTAGAAACAGGATTTAAACCCGGGTCTTTTCATCTTATGCATCCTGCTCTTTTACTTATACTGTAGCCTGTGGTCATAAGTCTCATCATCTGGTTTTCTTTCTTTCTTTTTTAAATGGTAGTTCTTAGTCAAACTGATGTAAAAGTTTTTATCATTTAATTTTTACAGATAAGAAAAAGATCCTTGAAATTAAAGATTTATGCTGTGGACACTGCTTCCAAGAACTTGAAATGGCAAAGGAGGAATGTCAAGATCTGAAAAGAAAACTGGAGAAATCCTGTAGGCATCTTCAGCATTTAGAAAAGAAACACAAAGCTGTAGTGGAAAAGATTGGAGGTTAGCATTTAAGGTAGCACTGCTACCAGTATGAATCTCTTTGATCCTTGTTCAAATGTTCAAATGTGACATTTTAGTTAATGTATGTACTGATTCTCTTTTGGGATTAATGTAAACTAATTTGGATCTCATTTTTACTAACCAAATTGTTATTGCTAAACTCAAAAGAGGAAGATTTCAGCTCTGATTAAAAGGTCACATTTCTTTCTACCTTTCTTGATTGAATAGATATATTGGGATCCCAAAATGTGTCAAGCAGTATTCTAGGCACTGATGTAGCAGGGAATAAGTCTCCAGTTCTGATGGAGATGAAGAAAATGTGTTCCCTTCCTTCAAGAAGCTTATGGTTAAGTGAGGGAAACTAGAAACAGACTAATAAATAATGTGACATTGAGCGTTCTTGGCAGTGTGTTATGTATAATTTCAGTAAGAAAGGATGTTAACTCAGCCTCTTATTAGAGGTAAGGAAGGTTTGACTAAGCTTTGAAAAATGCAGATGTTTGAAAAATGCCAGGGAGAAGTAGAGAGCTTTCTAGACGGAGGGAAGAGACATAAACAAAGGCATATGGGTCCGGTCTGGCTTCTATCCAGTCCATTCTTCACAATGCTGTCGGCGATATTTTGGAAAGGGATATCTTCTGCCATGTCCCATTGCTCTTAAGAAGGGAAGCAATTAGGCTTAAACAGCTATTCCCTCTTACCTTTCACTATCCACTTATATCCTGTGCTCTATATTCTTTCCATCTGAAACGTTTCAGATTCCTGAGCTGGTCAGAGTTTCTTTTACTGCTGGACCTTGCATATGATGTTGTCCCTCTGTCCTGTACTTTATCCTACCATTTACTTTTGGGTCTAACATTCTAGGATTCAACTCAGAAGATGCTTCATCTGCAAAGCTCTCCTCAGTTTTCCTCAGTCTAGGTTAAGTTAACTGCTCATGTGCAGCCCTATAGCACTTGGCTCTTCCTCTGTTACCTGTGTAACCATTCTCTATTTTAATTGTTTAATAACTTGCCTGATTCCTACAAACTATAAGTTCCCTGAGGATAAAGAATATGTCTTATCTTACTCATCCTTGTAGTCATGTTGCCCACTATGTACCAGAGAATAAATGTTTGATTACTTAGCTCTTTAGTAGAGGCCAGAAGAATAAATGAAATATTTGTCCAACTGTAGATATAGATACAATGTAGATAATTATAAAATTTGTTGAAGACCAAGAATATTTTGTTTTGCATAATAAAATGACAAGGGAAGTTGGGCATGATTATTATTTATAAATAGTAATATTTGGTATCCTAAATTCTGATCATAAAATAGTTATTCTATGTAGTGCTTTTCAAAGCGAGTATCTTCTACAATTCGTAGACTTACAAATAATCCAAGAAAGTTGCTATTTCCCTCAAGATAGTAGCCTGATAAAAGGGATCAGGGTCAGAATTTAAGTCACTAAGTAGTAGTTTTATTTGATATTTTTTCTTTGTATAAGTCTGTTAGGTGATATCTTTGCTATTGCTTCTTTTTTTTTTTCGCCCTTAAATTCCATTTTCTACTCCGTTGCTGGTGTTTATTGAAAAGTGATGGAGTAGGAGTGGATGGTTCAAAATATGTCATTCAGCAAGGGGAAGCAAGTAACTTTGTTCCCCAGCTCATAGGGTGTGTTGAGAGGGTGGCATAGTAGGAAACATGAGGGGCCATGCGCACATTTATTGCACATTGGTGTTGCCAGGCTTTGTATAAGGTGTTGTGCGTTTATTGCTTTATTTCTATTATAATCTCTAAGGTAGGTAGTACTATCCCAATTTTACACGTGAAAAAAAACTCAGGTTCAAAAAGGTTAAGTAATTACTGTTCATCTAACTGGTAAGAAACAGAACTAGGATTTAAACTTATGTCTCTCTGACTCTGAAATCCATGCTTTTTCCTTCAGACTACGTGGACTCTGTCCCCTTTTTAAAAGTTCAAAAAATTGAAAATCTTATGTAATTTCTAAAAACGGTACCTACTTAAGGTTAGTTTTCTCTTAATTTTATATTGAGATGCCTGTTCAGTGATCATTTATATGAGCATAGACTGTCTACCAGGATCCCTGGGGAATGTGGGATTAGGAAAACCTAGGTTTCCATGGGTCTTAACTCTAGCTGGAAAACAAAATATATGCATATGAAACCATTGGAGTCCAGTTCCAGGACAGTGTATAACCCAAAGCAAGAAGAAGATGGAATACAGATTTTAAGTGCCAAGAAAACAGACCAAGGGACTGGTCAGACTAGCGTTTATCAGGGAATGAATGACACCCAAGAGCAACAGGAAATCACACGGTCTCCTCTGTAAACATCTGTGTTGGGAACTTAAGGGAAAGGAAGGCTCAAACAAAAAATCAACTGACCGATATACCATTAACTTTCTTCTGTAGAAGAGAATAGTAAAGTTGTTGAAGAATTAATAGAAGAAAACAATGACATGAAGAATAAATTGGAAGAACTGCGAACACTTTGTAAAACACCACCAAGGTAGACGTTTGCTATTTTAAAGAAACCATTTATTTTTAAGTACAAGTATCTTTAAACGTTTTAAAATATAAATTATCGTTTTGTTATAAAGCAAAAAGTATAAAAAAGAAGAAAATCTCCCAAAACCCTATTCCCTAAAGATACCCTCTGTTATCTCTTATTTTAAATCAGTTAATCTTCTTTATGCACAAATACCATGTATACAATGTGTTTTAAAAGTTGAGATTATCATATAAGGTATTTTGGAAACTTTTATAAACTTACTATTAAATGAACATTTCTTGATGTTATTAGATATTCTACAGTATGCTTTTTCAATAGCTGCATACATTTTTATCATGTGAATTTACCATTTAAGCAACTATAAAATTTAAGTTTCTATTTTTCTCCTCTTTTCAATGTTTGTATAGAGGAAATCCTTTTGTATGAAATTTTTAGCACATCTCAGTTTATTTTATTAGAATATATGGGTACATATGTATTTTTCAAATGAAGTTTTTCACTTACCATCTCTGTTTTTGCCATCCTTTGGTTTGTTTTTAGGTCATTGTCAGAAGGGGCCATTGAACATGCTTGCCTGTCATGCAACCAGGGGGCCTTGGAAGAACTTCGTGGGCAGTACATTAAAGCTGTGAAAAAAATTAAGCGTAAGTCTTTAAAGAGATTCTCAAGATTTTAGGGATGGATTGGCCATCTTTATTGTTGGTGTTAGACGTAAACTAAGAGTTTACAAGCAGCAGTGTTTTTAGGGAATTCTCCAAACTACCTTATTCAATCTTAGAGGAGACTATTGATATCTTTTCAAAATTACCGTAATGGATCATTTTGCCCAAATGATGTGTTTTGGAAGTGATGTGAGAGTAATGTTATTTTTATATCGTTGATTATCCTGTGTCTTTTTTGGACACTAGTATTAAACTAAAAATTTAATAATCTTATAACTTATAGCAAAGAAAATGTCACGAGTTTTAAATTAGCAATTAATTATGACCTCCTACCATAAACTTTTAAGGACTATGGAAGTGGGTCTAGTTAGCAGTTCTGTTGTTTCTCTTTATTGTTTCCCATAGCTGTAAATTTATTTAACAAGTCCTTGTCAGGTCAGATGGCACCAGCATATTCTGCAGAGCATTCCCTGGTGTGTGTTTTTCCAGTATAGAATACTTCCTGGTTTTTAATTATAAATTGCATAGAATAGATGTATTTCCCAATTTACTAACCTGTGTTTATATAGGAAATATGTAGATTTACCCCCTACAATTATATGTATTTTTAACAAAAAGAGCAGAGGAAAGGCCTCAAGTTTCAAATATAATTGGTAGATAACAGAATCATATATAGCTGTTATGAAAAAGCTCATTTAGTATCTGGATTTACTTCTCAGCTGCTGCTGGTGTTAACAAAGGGCATATTACTACAGACAACTTGTTAATAACCTATTGTTTGGGAAGTGAAATTTTAAGCATTTGTTTTATCCTAACATAATAACTTGTATGTATGTGTGTATATTGTGTTTTAATTATATTTCAGGTACTTATATTTCAGATAATTATATTTCAGATACTTGTGTTGACATGGACTCCATTTTATTTTTTCCCATTTCAAATAATGAAAAATGGTCTCCCATTTAGTATTTTTGCATAGAACAACACTGAATTTTCAGATGCTTACTCTCATTAAGAGGGAGATTCCTATATGAATTGATATCCTCAATATAACAAAGACAGGAAAGTTGTAGATGTAGGAGGAAGTCTTGATTTAGTAAAAAAAAAAAAGTTAGCCTTAAGATAAAAAGAGAACTCGAAAGCTGTTAGTGATATTAATATGTAGATTTCAGAAGGCAATAATAGTCTACAGCCATACCACTCTGAATGTGGCTGATCTCGTCTGATCTCAGAAGCTAAGCAAGGTCGGCCTGGTTAGTACTTGGATGGGAGAAGGCAACAATAAGTCTTATCACCCTCCTTGCAGTCACATTTTGTACATCTCTCTCCTGTATTGTAATATTATATTTAGTTAGAGCCTCAATATGTGATGCAGAAATGGTAAAAGCAGAGATAGTGCAAATAAATAACAAGTAATGGAACAGGGATTTTCAGAGCATAAGAGAAGGAGTCTCTCCAACTTATATTGCTTCCTTTTCTTCTTCTTTCAGTGTCTGCTTTTCTCTTCCTTTCTGCCTCACCTTTTCTGTACATTTCTTTTCTCTCTCCTTTTGAAATATGTAAGTTTCCATGTCTCATATTTATGGTATTTTCTTGCCTAAGTATTTTAGAGTATGACAATCTCTGGGGAATATACCATGTTTCCTTACTATATGTATGCTGTCATCCTTACAAAAAGACTTACAGATTATTTCTCGCTTGAGTCTACCAAAATGGTGATCTGAAATATTCCATTTTAATGACTGTGGAAAGTATAATGTTTAAACTGTGCCTCTAATCACTTCATCTCCCAGAGAATTGGTCTAAAGTCTGCCCCTCCTGTTTCTGAAAAAGTGCTAATAAACGTGTATTTCTTGGGGATTTCCTCACCTCCTGTAGGTGACATGCTTCGTTATATCCAGGAGAGTAAAGAAAGGGCTGCAGAAATGGTAAAAGCAGAGGTATTGCGAGAACGTCAAGAAACCGCCCGAAAGATGCGCAAATATTATTTGATTTGCCTCCAACAGATTTTGCAGGATGATGGGAAAGATGAAGGGTAAGTTCAGTCCAAACAAATAACGTGTCCTGAGAGTACTAGGATAGCATGCTGTCATTTTCTAAGTTATTTTCCTTAACCACAAAATTAACTGTTTCTACATGATCAGCCACTGGGGGTTAAGAGAGGTTTATGGCTGTGCTACCCTAAATGTTGGCAGAGCTAATAGGAAAACAGAAATCCCGCGGCTAAGGAAACTCATTTTTTCCTTTAAACTATATTAATTTAATCTTGTGGAATTTCCCCACAGGGCCGAGAAAAAGATTATAAATGCTGCAAGCAAACTTGCTACGATGGCAAAATTGCTGGAAACACCTACTTCTACTAGAACCCAGAGTAAAACTACACAATCAGGTATGTCAAAGTGGGTGACTTGAATGGTTTTTCTCCTCTTCTTGTTTGGCTATTTAATATGATATTTTCAGTACGAAGAAGAGCAGGGAATGTAAGGAACGAGAGTTCATTTATAAAGTTGTGTATGTTGTACTTAAACTGCAAATTTATAAAAAATTGTATAGAGTTTCCAGGTCAGGTAGGCAGACTGAGCATGCCCTTCAGCTTCCCATCCCTGCCTCCATCCCTAGAAATGATAGAAAAGATTTTAACAAATAAAAAATGAAAAAAAAAGAAGAAATTATAACTGGGTTTTAAAAGGTTGCAGTGGATAAGACCACAAGCTATAAGAAATTCCTTAAAGAAAGAAAAAAAGTATAGGATTAAAGATGGAAACCTCAGTTCAAAAACACCAGAAGATTGACAGCCACAAGTAGGAGCAATATCAAAACTACTGCATCTATGAAGATGGTATGTTCCAGGAGAAGTAGTAGACCTAAGAGATATTAATGGAGTGATTAGTCAACATTCTAGAGAACAACAGCAACCAGGTGGAGTCACCCTCTCTTTATTTCTTTTTCCCCCCTCCCTTTCTCAATCCCAGTATTGGGCTGGGCAACAGCAACAGGAACAAACAGTCTGGGGGCAGAACAGGGCAATGTACTAGTTGTCTAGCCATATCAAGCAGAGGCTGGGAGCCCACGTGCCCAGAGTACCAGCTATTAGATCTTTCCATCCTGCAATTCATTCCATCCCTCCCCGCCCCAAACCCTTTAACCAAGAGCACAAACAGATATGGTATTCAGTATATCTTAAAGGTAAGTATTTAATCAAGAATCATTATATATTTACAGAAAGTCATCACCATGAAAAAAAGACACCAAACTATCAATAAAAAAATACCAATAGAACTTACATCTAAGGAAATAGAATTAGTAGAACAAATAATAGGATCTGAGAATGTTAGAAAAGTAAAGTATTCTTAGATATAAGAGGATATGATAAAGGAAATGAAAAATATGCTAAAATTTTACTGTTTTCAAGGAGAGGATATAAATGCTGTTAACACTAGCCATTGCTAGAAAGATGCAGGTTTAAGTATGTGCATTAAAATTTAAGAGTAACTACAGAGAAATAAAAATATACAATCTTAAGAATATTCAGTCTTAAAACTGGTAAGGGAAATACTTGGAAGAAAATATTTTCAATCTAACAAAATCAGGAAAGAAGTAAAAAACTAGAAAGCATGGGTAAATAGAATATAATAGTTGGTTGAAACATCAATCACACTAAATATAAATAGGTTAAACTCCCTTATTAAAAGACCACAACTTTCAAATAGGGTTTTAAATATTATGGATAGTTGCTATTTTTATAAGAAGAACATCTAAAGTTCAAAATCCTTGGACAGAGAGAGATATACCAAGGAAATGCAATGTTGATATTAGATAAATTATAGTGATAAATACAATAGTAGGTAAATTAGAATTAGCATTGAAAGAAAAAAAGGTGATAGTTCATAATAATGGAACAATCTCCCCAGAAACTATAAATTGTTTCTTTCTGTGTATAATAACATAGCTTTAGAGTATGTAAGGTAAGAGCTGAAAAAAAATACATGAAAAAAAATGGTTAAATACTCAGTCACACTGGGAGATTTTAACATATTAAATATCTGTAGGGAAATGGAGTTTTTGAACCTCTGGAAAATTTGAAGCAGCAATTGTTCAGGAATCCGTGAGTCTGATGTTGGTAAACATTCCTTATGTAGAAGTACAAATGTTGTTTGTATAAATTTTGCAATGCCGGTGTGAACCTTAGGTATAAAAGGGCAGTGGTGTATAACAAGAAAATAATTTTCTAGATCTGGTTCAAAAGCATGCAAATAATGTCTCCAGTAGAAGCAAACCCTTTTCGTGGACTCTAGGGACCAAGGTATACTATTCCGAGATATGATGCCTCTAATTCTGTGCTCTATGGCTGCATTGCTGTTGATCAGATTTAGTGTCCTAGCCAATTAAATCAGAAACTTTATTTAGCTTTTACAGGTGTGTGTGTGTAGGTGTTGGGGAGTGGGTGGGGTTCGTTCAGTAAATTGTCTGTCAGAAACTCCATACCTAACATCCAAATAAGAGCAGGATTGAAAACATTGTAGTTGGCTCTTGAAATGCTGTAACATCTGTTGCAGAAAATGTAATAGACCAGGTGGATAGCAATAATATATCGGATTTCAGCAACTAAATTACCAAGCTTTATCTAATGGATATATGTGAAAGAATATTTTTAAATATCCAGCATTGATGTATTTTCTTTAAGAATGATTACTATATATGCATTCTTTGAAAATACATAAAAATGTGATTTTTTTTTTCTTCTCCTTCAATGTGAATTTTCTCTTAATTTTCTGTTCCCCTAATTTTGTGTTCCCTTGCACATAGTAGCACTGCCCCTGACTTCAGAGATGCTGACTGGAGTTGAAAAATCAAAAAGAAAAGATGTGAATCAGAGTATACCACGTTACATTGAAAACAAATCAAACAGTGCAAAAAATATCCCCAGAAGTGTGTGCGAACAAGTTCCTAGGAGGAAGGCTGTCTGTAACTTGCGAAGGCTGTTAGAGAACTCGGAGCGTGGGGGCCCAAAGCATGTGGGTCCCAAAGAGTCACATTCTGACTTTCAGTTTGGGGACAGTGGTCACAAGCACCTGAACGTTTTGCCAAGGAATGTTTCTCCTGAATTTGTCCCTTGTGAAGGTGAAGGAAGCTTCGGTTTGCACAAGAAGAAAGACCTACTCAGTGATCCTGGTTCTGAATCACTTCTGCATTCAGTCGCACACCCCTTTCTTGGAACCTTTGGAAATAAAACCTCACCTAGATGTACCCCTGGTCTTTCCGAATCAGGATCCACGCATATAACCCCTCCAGATCCTAATGAAAGACCTGGCTTAAAAGTGTATACATGTAAACCACTAATGGAAAGTGAAAATGCTGCCTCTGAGAAAAGTCAAGGTTTGGGTATTCAGGAAACTCCTGTAAAGGATGGAGGGGGCCTTGGTGACTCCCTGAGCTGGCCTTCTAACAATGCAGCTCCACCCTGTGACAGTCACGAGGTGTCATTTGTATATGGTAGGCCACAAGGAACTCTGGGTATGCGAGGTGAATCTGTTGATTTCAGACAATTTTCAGTAACCAGTTCTCTTTCAGTAACCAATTCAGGTACAGAGAAAGGTAGTGTGATTTGTCAACCGATGAAATGTCAGCATGATAAAACTCCGAACCTGTCAGAAGGAACCATGTATTCCCAGCCAGGGAAAATCAGTGTGACTCTCGGACACCCATCTCATCATAAGACAAATATATTAGAGTCAGATTTCAAAAAACTGAGCAGTACGGTACCATCTTCAGTGTGTCGGCAGCCTTCGAGAAAATTAATTGCTCCCCTATCTGGCCAGCAAGATAGTGGCTTCGATAGCCCATTTGTCAATCTAGACTAACTGTTATACAGTATTTATGAAGAATCATTAATATATTGACAAGAAAACCAGGAGGGAAGATTTCATACTGAAAAAATTGTGGGCTCTGCCTATTTTGAGATGTTTTAATAACATCTATTATATGAGTAAAGTATTCTCATGAAATTACTTGAGGTATTTATGTTGCCTTAATCTTCTAAAGGCCTGAGGTATATGTGTAATATGCTTCTGTGTGGTGCTTGTATTTGTTGCTAAAACATCTATTTTTTTACTTATAAATTGGCTCACTCCACAGTGTTAAATTATTTAAATAAACTTGGCATATGGTCTGTAGAATTGTTATGAATTATTTTATTCTGTTCATAATACAGAAATATTGTATTCACATCATGTTTGAATTCACCCAGAAAAAAACAAACTTTGATTATTGTATGCATAAGCAGCCAACTTTAAAGTTTGAAATTAGCCATGTTTAATGAGGCTATAGACTTAGTGTAGACATACTTTTCCTGGAAATATCTACCCAAAATCTTGATTTTTGTTTTCAATTAGAGAAAAGAGGTTTGCCAAGGTTTGCTACAAAATAGCTGTGTCCTGGGTTTATTATTTAAATTATCAGTCTGAACTTCTTTAGTTGACATTTATGTTATTTCAAAACACTGTGACATCCAGGAACTTTGTCTCTTTTATGGCTCCACAGTTTTTCTTTCATCTGAAATATTACTTTTTGAAAATTGAGATAATAAACTTTGTCATGTAGCAAAACATTTAAATTATTAGATTTTTACATTCACTTGTAGTACAAAATTGGCTAACTTATTAATGCTATGGGTTGAAGCTTATAATTCTGAACTGAAGAACATATGCAGAAATGAATGACTACGTAAATATCATTGTTTCTAGGTGAATTCTTTTTGAGATTCCTAGAGATGAATGTGAACATTTTGGGTGTATGCTAGTGCTTCCTTTCTGAAAACAGTTATTATAGCTTTCTCTCATAGCTCTCACTCCAGCCATATTATGAATGGTATTTTAGGGTTGATCCTGTATATTTTTCCACCCAGAACTGGGTAACTTGGGTGGTGGGGAGGTGGATGGCAAGACACATGCTCCTTTTCCTGATAACAATCTCTAAAAGGAAGAACCTAGAAGTGAAAAGTTCTAGGGCTTGGAAAGTTCTGTCACCTTGCTGGCGACCAGGTTTAGATAAGTCTGAAAATTAGCACTAGATTTCAGTGCTCAGTTCAGATGCAGCTGTAGTAAGGAACAAACCATCTTGTAAGACAATACAGGTCTTTCCTGTATCCCTGAAGATACAATGCCTCTTCTCCGACAGTTAGGAGAGGAAAACTCTCACTCTAGGAAAACCTCTAAACCAGCCAAATTTATGTTTTCTGTGGGTCTAGTTGGTGCTTGATCATTTTAAGACCTGGGTATTACTGAACTGAGAATCTAGCTCATTGCTCACCTACCTTTTTATCATTGTTTCAAATACATGACAGTTATTTAAACCCTCAACATGAAGGTTAAAACTGGAAACTTTCTTGCTTACTGCTGCTTTTAGGGTATCCTTACTCTTTTTTCATGCTCATAATCTCAATAGGATTGTTACTTTATTTCATATCCCCTATATCTAATCACCAAGGGAAGTATCAGTTTATCAGTATGCAAATGAAGGGACTACACAGCCAAACTATGACTAGTGATTTACATTGATCTGAAAAAAGTGATGGAAGAGGGAGGGCGTGAGCCCCATAGATGTCAGTGGTCACATAAATCTCACTTTGTCATGGTGTTTAATCCTTTTTATGTGTTGCTGGATTTCACTTGCTAATATTATGTTAAGGATTTTCATGTATATGTTCATGGGGAATATTAGTCTCTTGTTTTCTTGTGATATGTAATAATGGTCTCATAGAATGAGTTTGAGTGTGCCTCTGCCATTTATTTCTGAAAGAATTGGTGTAGGATTGGTATTATTATTTTTTATATATGGATAGAATTTACTAGGTGAAGGCATCTAGCCTGGGCTTAGTAGGGGGAGGAAGGTGTTAAATAATAATTTTCGTGTTATAGAGCTATTCATAATTTTCTTCAGTCAGTTTTGATAATTTTTGGCTTTTGAAGAATTTGGCCATTTCATCTAAATTGTCAAATTTGTTGACATAAAGTTGGCCATAGTATTCTCTTATAATCCTTTTAATTTCAGTAGGATCAGTCATGATGTCCCTTCTTTCATTTCTGATTTTGGTATTCTGTGTCATCTCAGTCTAGCTAAAGGTTTATCAAGTTTGTTGATTTTTTTTTCCTTCAAAGAACTTTTGATTTTTTGAAATGTTTTTCCATTTCCTATTTCATTGATTTTTTTTTCTTCTGATCTTTATTTCCCTCTTTCTACTTGCTTTAGGTTTAATTGACTACTCTTTATTCTCAAAGTCAAAGTTTACATTATTGATGGGAGACTGTTCTCTCCTGTTATAGATGTTTAAAGTTCTGAATTTCCCTGCAAGCACTATTTAAGATGTACCTCACAAGGTTTGATATGTTGTATTTTTGTTTTCATTTAGTTCAGAATATTTCCTAATTTCCCTTATGATTTTTTTTTGACACATGAGTTATTTAGAAACCTATTCCTTCATTTCCAAGAATTAGGGATTTTCCAAATCTCTTTGTTGTTAGAGAGTATACTTTGAATGATTTCAGTCCTTTTAAAATTCTTGAGATTTGTTTTATGGCCTAGCATGTAGTCTAACCTGGAGTTTGTTTCACATGCATCTGAAAGGAATGTGTATTCTGCTCTCCTTAGATGAAAATGTCAAAAATGTCAGTGTGGGTTGGTTGATAGTGTTGGTCAAATCTTCTATAGCCTTGCTAGTTTTCTTCTTATTTGTTTTGCTAGTTACTAAGAGTGGGATATTTTAATCTCTTATTATAATTGTTTAATTGCCCGTTTTCCTTTCAATTCTGTCAGTTTTTGCTTTGTATATTTTGAGGCTCTGTCGGGGTACATATGGTATTTTGATACTTGCATACAGTGTGTGATGGTCAAACCAGAGCAACTGGGACATACATCACCCTAAACATTCACTTCTTCTTTATAAATGATAACATTCCAATTCTTTTCCTCCAGCAATTTCGAACCATACAACAAGTTGTTAACAATAATTGCCCCACTGTACTAAAGAGGTTGGTTAATAGGTATGAAAATATAGTTAAATTTGGCTCTTTTTTATAATTACTGTCTTAAAAAATTGATATTCCCTGTTAAGTCACCATATTTTCCTTTAATTCTTTAATAATTTTTCTCTTTAATTTTTAAAACATTTATAATAGCTGCTTTTCGCAGCTATTTTTTTTTTTTTTTTTTTGAGACAGAGTCTCACTTTGTTGTCCAGGCTAGAGTGAGTGCCGTGGCGTCAGCCTAGCTCACAGCAACCTCAAACTCCTGGGCTCGAGTGATCCTTCTGCCTCAGCCTCCCGAGTAGCTGGGACTACAGGCATGCGCCACCATGCCCGGCTAGTTTTTTTTTTTTATATATGTATCAGTTGGCCAATTAATTTCTTTCTATTTATAGTAGAGACGGGGTCTCGCTCTTGCTCAGGCTGATTTTGAACTCCTGACCTTGAGCAATCCGCCCGCCTCGGCCTCCCAAGAGCTAGGATTACAGGCGTGAGCCACAGCGCCCGGCCCGCAGTCTTTTTTTTTTTTTTTGTGGTAAGAACACAAGAAGATAAGATATACTCTCTTAATAAATTTTAAAATGTACGATATAGTATCCTTAACTATAGATACAATGTTGTACAGCAGATCTCTCAAACCTATTCATCTTGAATAACTAAAATGTTGTATCCATTGAACAGCAACTCCCTATTTCCCACTTCCCTCAGCCCCTGATAACCAACATTCTACTTGGTATTTCTGGAGTTTGACTATTTCAGATAATTCATATAAGTGGAATCATGCGCTGTTTATCCTTCTGTGACATATATACTGTATTAAACTCAATATCTGAGCATATAGATTTTCTTTTTTCTTTTTGGTTCTGTGCTGTTGGTTTCCCTCTCTCTCAAAATATTAGTGGGGTACCAAAGTTTGGTTACATGAATTGCTTTTGTACAGTTTGAGTCAATGTTATAAGTGTGCCCATCACCCAGATAGTGTGCATTGTACCCTGTAGGTGTGATTTTACCCATCTATCATCCAGCCCACCTGCTTGATTTCCAATGAATTTTAATACCATATATGCACATTAGTGTTCACCATTTAGTTCCAATTTAATAGTGAGTACATGTGGTGTTTGTTTTTCCATTCTTGTGATACTCAACTTAGGATGGTCTCCAGTTCCATCCAGATTATTACAAAAGGTATTAGTTCACCATTTTTTTGTTTTTATTATTTCTTAGTAATACTCCAGGGTATATATGTTGTTTCCACAACTTTGCGATTATGAATTGTGCTGCTATAAACATTTGAGTGTAAGTGTCTTTATTATAAAATGTCTTCTTTTCCTTTGGCTAAATACCTAGTGGTGGGATTGCTGGATCAAATGGTAGGTCTACTTTTAGTTCTTTGAAGTATCTCCATACTACTTTCCATAAAGGTTGAACTAGTTTGCAGTCCCACCAGCAGTTCATAAATGTTCCTTTCTCCACATCCACACCAGCATTTGTTGTTTGGGGACTTTCTGATGAAAGCCATTCTCACTGGAGCTAGGTGATATCTCATTGTGGTTTTGATTTGCATTTCCCTGATGATTAGAGATGTTGAGCATTTTTAAATATATGTTTATTGGCCATTAGTCTATCTTCATTTGAAAAGCTTCTGTTGATGTCCTTTGCTCATTTATTGATGGGGTTGTTTGATTTTCTTAAGTTCTATGCAGAGTCTTGTTATCAGCTCTTTAGTGGATGTGTAGAAAACAAATATTTTCTTCCCTTCTATAGGTTGTCTATTGTTCTAATGAACTAGTTTCCTTGGCTGTGCAGAAACTTTTTAATTTGATCAGGTTCCATTTATTTATTTGTATTGCTGTTGTGATTGCTTTGGTGGTTTTCTTCATAAATTCTTTGCATAGGCCAATGTCTATAAGAGTTTTCCCAACAATTTCTTCCAGAATTCTTAAGGTTTCATGCCTTAGGTTTAAGTCTGTTATCCATCGGGAGTTGATTTTTGTGAGAGGTGGGAATCCAGTTTCGATCTTATGCATGTGTTTATCCAGTTTTTATTTTGGGTCTTTTTGGTAAAAACCATTCTTACTGGAGTTAAGTGATATCTCACTGTGGTTTTGATTTGCATTTCCCTGGTGATTAGAGATGCTGAGCACTTTTTTATATGTTTGCTGGCCATTATTTTATCTTCTTTTGCAAAGTTTCAGTTCATGTCCTTTGCCCACTTTTTAATGTGGTATTTTGATTTTTTCTTGTTGATTTTGATAAGTTTTATATAGATTCTAGTTATCAGCCCTTTATCAGATGTCTAGGATGCAAATATTTTCTTCCATTCTGTAGGTTGTCTATTCGTTCTAATGATAGTTTCCTTGGCTGTGCAGAAGGTTTTCATTTGATCAGGTCCCATTTATTTATTTATGTTGCTGCTGTGATTGCTTCAGGGGTCTTCTTCATAAATTCTTTGCATAGGCCAATATCTATAAGAGTTTTCCCAATATTTTCTTCTAGAATTCTTATGATTGCACATCTTAGGTTTAAGTCTGTTATTCACTGTGAGTTGATTTTTGTGAGAGATGAGAGGTGTGGGTCCAGTGTCAATCTTCTGCATGTGGCTATCCAATTGACCCAGCACCATTTATTGAATAGGGATTGTTTCCCCAAAGTATATTTTTGTCTGCTTTGTCAATGATCAGATGGCAATATGAGGATGGTTTTATACCTGGATTGTCAGTCCTGTTCCAAAGGTGTGTGTCTCTGTTGTTGTGCCAATACTATGCTGTTTTGGTTACTATAGCCTTCTAGTATAGCTTGAAGTCTGGTAGATTGATGCCTTTCAATTTGTTCTTTTTGCTTAAGATTGCTTTGGCTATACATGGTCTTCTTTGGTTCCATATGAAGCATAGAATTATTTTTTGTAGATCTGTGAAAAATGATGTTGGTATTTTGATAGGGGTTGCAATGATTGTGTAGATCACTTTAAGTAGTATAGGCATAAGTAGCATAGATTCTGCTGATCCATGAGCATGATAGGGTTTTCCATCTGTTTACATCCTCTGTGATTTCTTTTCTCAGTGTTTTGTAGTTCTCCCTATATAGAACTGGAACAAGACAACATTGCCCACTGTCTCCACTTCTATTCAACATAGTGGTGGAAATTCTTGATAGAGCAATCAGATGAGCAGGGAATCAAGGGTATCCAAGTAGGGACAGAAGAGGTCAAACTTCACTCTTTTCTGACAATATGATATTACATCTAGAAAACCCCAACGATTCAACCAGAAGACTCCTGGAATTAATAAATGAATTTGTCAGAGTCTCAGAATACAAAATCATGCA